GAGAAGAATACTTAAACTGAAATTGATGGTTAATATTAACATTTGACGAGCAACTTCTTTTTCCCACATATTTATAAGGTATCCACCATTAGCAGCAATAGTCATAAATTCCCTCATTGAATATCGCTGAAGGTTGGTATCATTCATCCTTAAATTAACCACAACAACAAAAATTGAAGAACCGGAGTCAGAAGGAATTTAATCAGGAGTCTTTGAGATATGCATTGTAGGGCAGGAAACGGTATGGAAGGGGTTAAAGGAAATTTCACAGAAACACAAATAATATGAGGCGAGTACAACAAACAATAAATGGACAATCTTCAAGTATCTGTGAGATTCTGTGAGCCAGCCATGAAAACCACTCAGAACTACTACTACTTCTTCACTTCTTACCTTTGTGAATACTTCAATTATATGAGGCGCACACATAAATCGTATTTCCCCGTTTTCAGATGTTTTTTCACTTTCTCCATTTCCACTTGTTGATAAGAAATACGCTACTGGTAAACCAAAAAAAAATCATGTTTAATTTGTTCTATTACTTTGATTCATAAATTAAAACTATGTGCAGTTTTTCGTTTTTTTTTTTTTCCAAGAGGAAATGAATACATTTTTCAGTACTTAATTATGTTTTGTAACTCAATGAAATCTACCTGAAACGAGTAATACGGAGACGGGTTAGTAATCGTGTACATATTACTCCCTCCGTCCCAAAAAAAAAAAATAGTCCACACTGAGTTTTAAGTTTTGTACTATTTTTAATACAAATTTGAAAACTCAATGTGGACTATTTTTTTTAGGACGGAGGTAGTATTATTTATCCGTTTATTAACTCGTTTTCTTTTGTTTTTATTTCCTTAAGTTTATTTATTGTGGTTTTATTGTAGGAAATATATATTAATCCTATTTATTTTTTTTCAGAAAAAATAAAAGAAGTGGGATAAGGCACAATAATGGAAGTCAGCCATACATGTACAAAATGGTGTCCACACTCCAAAAATATATTGAACTTGGGACTGGGCAAATGCAATGAATCTGTAACTTGTTTTCCACTTCACCATTATTGTACTGCCAAGAATTTAATTATAACCAAACCCAATTATCATATTATTTCAGCATTCTCTTCACAGCAACCAGAAAAATGAACCAATCTCTAACATGCATGGGTTTCTTCTTTCTTGGGGGATCAATCGAAGATATAGCTTATCACATTCGTCATCGAGTTAAATATAATTTAGCCTAGACTTTCAAATTTCCCTCCGAATTAAAAAAATAAGAATCATGATTAATTGTTAAATTAATGTATTTGCAGTTAAATGATAAATTATGGTTCAATTGAAGAGGACAGATTTTACGTAAATGCAAGCCAAATGGGCCCGTGAATTTGTGTGGAAAAATGTTTCCAGATGCTGCAAGAAGAACTGAAGTTGCGTTTAAAACTTCGAAGATCTTCCAAGTATAACGTACTTGTGAAGATATTAAATCGATTTCATCCTACTTCACAAGTAACAAATACGTGCCTTTTTAGTGTTGTTTCAAGTTTCAACACTGATTTGGTGAAATTAATGTAAGTACTACTTGCTTAAGCAAAATGCTATCAAATTACGTCACAGTACGTAGTTTTTTTTTTTTTTTTTTTTTTTTTACAAAAAAGAATTCATTTCACGGGGGAAAAATCATTGGTCCATGTCTCTTGTAAAATCTTTGTGTTAAGGTGGACAAATAGAAGAACAATTAGAAGATTCTGTACTTACATTAGCATAAGATGATTCATGTTTATCAATTCTATATCTCTTTCGTGTTGGTTTTCAATAGTAAAATTTACTCCTTCTGATCCGATCAATAAAGCATAAAATAGATTTAATTTTTTTACTTTTTTAAATTGGAATCAAAGATATTTAGTCATTGATTCTTAATTTTTCTTTAAGGTATTTTGAACACAAAATTAACATAAAACAAGTGAAAAATGTTATACTCTCTCATCCATATTCTAGAATGATTGTCTAGTTTATATTTTCAGTAGTTCAACTTGTACTAAAATTGATAATTCGAACTGATAATTATTTTGGAAATAAGTAGTACTTTTTTTTTGTTTGGAAAATTTCATCTTATTAAAAGAAAATCATGTGTTACAAAATGCACAAGATCACCATCTTAGCACACCAAACTAGATAAAACACATACTAACACCTGCACCCCGAAATACATCAAAATTACCGGGATTAGTCACCATTTCGAGTTATTTACTTATTTTCCATGAAGGATGAACTACTCTGGTGATATACTTATTTCTCAACGTTCATAATTCAAAAAATCTATCCCTTACGAGATCAATAATAGATCAATCCAATAAGTTCAGGGGATCTTTTCATTCTCAAGCTTACAATTACGACTATTATTGTATTGTCACGCAGAATAATTTTTTTTTTTTATAAAAAAACTAAAATGCAATAAACAACACTCCTTTCTTTTCCTTCTCTTCTGCGTTAATGATTTGTTAAAAAAAAGTTCTGAATCATGACTATTCTTTTAAATTTTAAAATAAGAAAAAAAAAAGAGAGTATATTTTCACAAAGCCAACAATTATTGATAGGGAAAGAATACAAGAAAATGACTAAAGCCTAAACTTATAAGTTATAACCCAACTTTCATCCCACATTTTTTTATAATTAGAAGAGTAATAATGAAAGTCGTTAGTTAACTCAATCAAATCTGTGGGAAGCAACATTATGTAGAGTGGAATTTTTCCCAAGAAAGAAACAGGGAGCTAAGACTGGAATTTGAACAAAATAGGCGCAGGAAAATCAAATGGGTCAGATTTGTGCAGAAAGTGAGCAGGGAACCAGCTTATATATATTAGATACGCTGAAAATGGTGACATAAGCTCATCAGACCAAATTGACAATGGGCCACGCAGCCCCACACAACATACAATTATACACACAGTCACACAGTAGACATTAGGCATTACTGACTACGACACACTCACTCACCCAAAAATTACACAGTCACGCACTTTGAGCTGGATACCCTCTTCTTATTCATCTCCTAATCACCACCCCCCTCCAAATCTTAGCTGTCATCCCCACATGCTTCCCACAGTTTCATCTTGAATCCTTTCTCCATTCGTATTAACCAAAAAAAAAAAAAAAAACCTTCACAAATTCAAGCTCATCATTCCCATTTCCCCAGTTTCCAAATTTCCATTTGCCACATTTCCTTGGTAAAGCCACAAATTGTGCCCCGTCTCATAATAAACGGTTTCCCTCTGTCTAATTTTGATAATCTAGTTTGTAAAACTAATTTATTAGTGTGTGTGCTTTTAGGCTGGGAATGTTTGAATGGTTGGGTGTGGTTTCTATTAGGTGGTTTTAATTTTTTTTTTCAAAAAATATAAATTATTAATAAAATAAAACGGACAAGAAATTTATATTAAAATCTTGGGACCGATATTTTTTTTTCAATCATTTGTTAGACAACAGTGCGCTGATCAAATCATCAAAATTAACTCGATACCGTACTAGTTGTAACTTGTAAGTTATAACTATAATAAGTAAATGTGATGAATATCTGAGGGGAAAAAAAAAGTTTCTCATGAAAAGATAATACATGCAACTGTTATACCAGTATTTTCGTTAATATAACAAGGAATACTAAACATATTAGTGTTATGTTGTTGACTCTATTACGTACATACATGTAAATAAATACTGAATACATATCCGGCCTCGAGACTTTCCATTGGCGGTTTTTTTTTCCTTTGTATTTTCGCTTGAGTTTGTTCGAGTATTTGATCTTATTATATGCTTAATGTCTCAACAAAATTTGATCTAATTAAATAGTGATGATGTGCTTAATGGAAAGGTTGACGAACCCCAAAAATATTGATGATGTGCATAAAAGGATAAGAATGTATAACCAAAAAAAAAAAAAAAAAAAGACTAAAAAACTGAAAAGGTGGAAATCATAACGAGACTATGAGAGGGATTAGAAGGAAATGCTTAGGATTTAAGTTACCGAAAGGAACAGATTATTATGTATATATAGAGTAGTGGTTTTGAAATTCCAAAATATGGAAATTACTCAATTTTGGGAATGGAAGGAAGGAAAATCAGGAAGTATATGTTTGAAAGAGAAAATGGAAATGGGGAGAAAATCAGGATGTATTAAAAAGTTTTCAACCCTTTAAAAATTTGAATTAGAGAGGATAGAGTTTGGGAGAGATGGTCGTCCAATAAAAAAAAATCCTCAATTATGGAACAAAATGATTCAATTTAGTGTAAATCTAATCTTACCTCTGTGGGAACACACGAAAATATGATTTTTTTCTTCTTCTTCTTCTTATAATCATATTTGTAGAATCACATATTTAGAACAAAGTTATTAATTCGCCGTAAAGCTTTTTATTACTACTTCCGTTCAAGAAAAAAAAAATAGTTCACATTAAGTTTTAAAATTTATAATAAAAACAATACAAAATACTATAAAAATCAATGTGGACTATTTTTGTGGGACGGAGGTAATAATTAGTTAAAAATTTCTTCTCCATTTGGAGTTCCTATTCTAATCTAGTGTAGGATAGGATAATATGAGTTTGATAATTAGTGTAAAAAACAAATATTGTAGCTGTTGTATTTGTGTTAGATAGAGTTGGGTTTTATCACATTTTCCTCATAAACTTAACAAATTCACTATTTTTTTTGGGTAAAGTTTCATTTCATCATTTTATTTTTTTTCAATCATTTGTCACACCATGCTAATTGTAACTTATAAATTATAGTAACTAATAGGTAAATGTGATTTTTTTAAAAGACGATAAAGCAAAATAAGTGGCACGATTATTATCCTAATTTAAGAGTTGATAATTTTGATGAGAACAAGAAAACTAAAAAAAAAAAAAAAAAAGAAATAGAAAAAGGAGAGATTTTTGTCCATGATTATATCCATTCGTAATCACAAGCTGTTACTGTTAATAACTGTTTTTTCACTGGAGTGTACCCAACAGATTGACAGGACTGTGAGTTACAGTTATTATTATAAACCTTAACATAGTGAGAATTCTTTTTTTGTTACTACCAATTAATTAAGGTAATTTTTTAAAGAATCCCAACAAAACTGTTTGGAAAGAAGAACAGCTGGAATTTTTATAATGAAATTGGTACTAGAATAACTATAAGAACATCCTCACTCTCACCAAACATACCCCCTCTTTAGCCTTTTCCCCCTTTCTCTCTCCTCTCTCTTTTTTCGGCTTTCTTTCTCTCTCTTTCTTTTCCCATTTTTTTCCTTCCAAAATGGACCCCCCACCACTTTCCACTGCCCCGCCTATTCCCACCACCGCAGCGCCGCCGCAGACCACCGCCGCCGCAACCCCGGCGACCACTCAAAACCACGTCAACAGCTACCCTGATTCCGTCGAGTCTTCTCCACGGTCTCGCAACACCGATTCCTGGGATGAGCCCCCGTACGGCCCCACCACGACGGCGGCGCATCCCGCAACCACTGCCAAACTCCGTCTCATGTGTAGCTACGGCGGTCACATAGTCCCCCGTCCTCATGATAAGTCGCTCTGTTACGTCGGTGGGGACACGCGGATCGTCGTCGCTGATCGGAACACGAACCTCTCCGACTTCCTTCTCCGGCTCTCGAAAACCGTCCTCGCCGGGAAATCGTTCTCTCTGAAATACCAGCTGCCGAATGAAGACCTTGATTCCCTCATCACCGTCACTACCGATGAGGATTTCGAGAACATGGTGGAGGAGTACGACCGGCTTCACAAAAACCCTTGTTCGAAGAATTCGCGCCTCCGGCTGTTTCTGTTCTCGACGAAATCGGAATTGGAAACATCGTCTTCCATTGAATCCCTCCTGGAGCACAGTTCGAAATCGAGCGAATGGTTCTTCAATGCCCTAAATGCTACCACGCCGTCGTGTAAAAACCGTGCATTTTCGGAGACTTCATCGGTGAATTGTTTATTGGGGCTGGATGATGCGATGGAAAATCAAAATCCAGCTGTAAAAGATGTGGACGCACAGCTGGACAGTATTACTAAAAGAGATGGTAGTGGTGGTGGGATTCCCGGGAAAGTAAATAATAATTTAAGCACCAATTATAATAATAATGGTAATCTCGCCCAGGACGTCCATTCTGTGCCGGATTCTCCTATGCTTGAAACCTCGTCGTCTTTTGGGTCTACTTCGTCATCGCCGTCGACGACGGCCAACTTGCCACCCATTAAGGTTGGTTCTGATGAGGGCAGCAATCACCAGAAAGGCGTGGCTGGGTTGGGAATTGAGGAGCAGTTTGCGCAGGTTACTAGTGTTTCGAAGCCGGAGGATGGGGGTTTTACGCAAGGGATGGCTTCTCCGCCGGCACCGGTGTCTGTTCCGGTGGCAGCGTTTTCAGGATTGCCGGTTGTGGTTGGTGGGGAGTATCAAATTCCCTACCGGAATTTTCCAAATGATGAAAGATCGGAGCTCGGAGTTGGGTTCAAAATGGGAGCTCAGGTGCAACCATTACAGCAGCAGCAGCAAGTACAACAGTTTCAGCAACAGCCGCAGCAGCAGTTGCATTCTGCTCAGTTGCAACAAAGTAAACCAACTGGTGCCTTCGATTTGCCTTCACCAGATTCCGTTTCAAGGTATTTCAATTTTCCTGGTAATATACAAAATTTGATTTTCTGGTCATTTGGCTGCTTTCCTGTGATTGTTGGGTATTTACTTTGGTAGTTTGTGTAGAATTATGATTCCTAATGATCAATCAACTTGTCTGATTTCACGAAACCAAGGCGAGCTCTAAAATAGTAATCTGGCCATTGTTTTTCTAGTCTTATTGACAGAATATGAGGCATTGAATTAACTAATGGAATTCCAAATTTATTATGATTGGTCAATTGTTGGTGTTGATGCCGATTGGGCCATATACTGAACCAGTAATTTAGAAGTTCTTTCTTGCTGTTTGATACCGTGTTTGTCAATTTAGCTGTAAAAGCAGGGTAACCAAAAGGCTTTGCTGCGAGTTTATTAATAATTGGCCTTCTTCTGGAAGTTTTGGCTCAATAAGGACAAAATAATCTGGCTTACATGTTGTTGAGAAAGCTTCATGCCATATGCCATAGAATTTGCCAATGATTTTTGCGGGATTAACTCTATGGTGAAATAGGTTATAGAAGGTTTTTGTATAAGGGTGAACCCTTTTCTTTCTATTGTTGTGTTTAAATTAGTTTGCTAGTGAGATAGTCTGATGGGGTGATTCTTTTTCATATGTGCAGTGACGGTAGTGTGACAAATCCATTATCCCGGCAAAAACCGATGATGTATCATGAAGCTGTTGTACAAGTGCAATCTGTCAATGGCAGAGTTGCAGCTAATCAAATTGATCCTAAAACAACTGAATTGAACAATAGGGTTCAGGTTCCCCAGCAAGTTCAGGAGTCTGGTTACGCGTTGCCCAGTCAATTTGATCAATATCAACAAGTGCAATATGTTCCTGCTGGCGCTCAATATATGCATCATCACCCTCCTGGTGCAATGCCTATGTATTACCCCATGTACCCTCCTCAACAGGTAGGCCATCACCCTCCCTCCATGGAGCATCAGTATCCTGTTTACCTTGTGCCGGCAAGACAAGCACAAGGTTATAACATTCCTATGCAGCAGCCAAGTTTCAGCGAATCTACACCTATTGCCCCTTCCAGCAGGCCCCAAACCTCTCCCTCTGCCGCATTGGTGCCTCCTACTGCTTTTACGCCTGCGACAAATGCTACAGCTGCTGCTGTTAAACCTGAACTGCCGGCAGCCATGTACAGAACATCAGCTGCAGGACAGCCACATTTGGTGCACGTACCTTCCAGCCAGTCACCGCAATATGCTGGCTTTTCTCAAATTCACCATCCATCGCAGTCCATTGCTCCATCTTCAGCCACTACTACCACTGCTAGTTATGCTTATGAATATGCTGATCCAACGCATGCACAGATCTATTATACTCAGCCAATGCCTCCGCACATGGCTACTCAATATCAGACAATGACGTCTGCTCCTCCTTTGAAGTCATCCGATACCTCAACACAGATTCCATCAGAGAACATGAAGCAGCAAGTTCGAACGTCTCAGCCCTGACAACTGAAGTTGGCCATGGAGGAACAATTTTGCATGAGGTGAAAGCATTGTTTACAAATGTAATTGTTATTTTTTTGGGCTTGTGATATTATTAATTAGTATTCTTTCGGTATGTATCTTCTTAATGAGACTGATCTGATTTCATTGTAAAATCTCAAAAAATGCCTATGTATAATTAGCTGAAGAATAAGTGTGTATATTGGAGAAGATTTTTCTGGGGTTTTCTATTTTTCAGTCTACAAAGCATTATAGTCTTTTGATAGGTTATTGTTGCTCATTTGAAAAGGAAAAAAAGCTAATCTGCAGCCTGATATAAGATGCTTTTCAAATGTTCCTTATTAAACTTGCAAAGGCAATGGCTATGCTTTACTCTTGCCTGATTCTTACCTTTTGAGCTTCATTTTTGACTTGTTTGATTTGGGAAGGATTCGTTTATTCTAAACTTGATTTAGACATTAGGCAAAATACGCTTAGATATGAAAACAAAGCAATTTGGTAGAAACTTGGCACAGCATATTTGTCAATCACGAAGCAATTTGCATATTTTTACATTATCTTAAAAGGGCCAATCTTGGTGCCAACTTATCCCAACTCAATGTTGCTTTTTTTTAAAAACATTAATTCGGGTTTAAGGTTGAGCTCTGGCAACTTTAAAGGTGTCTGATCTTAATCTTAATTATTTGAAACAGTGGACTTTGTCTTGTACTGCGATTTGGTAGAACTGGATTTCATTATCAAGAGAGGCAGAGAGGAAACAACCGCCATAATAATGGATGATGAAAGCTGTCTCTTTCCAAAATTTTAGTTACTAGTACATTAGGGGCTAAGGCACAAACGTATAAACTACAATTAACTAATATTATAGGTTGCATCTTACACTGAACAAAAATTAAACAAAGTCAAACCTCACTAACTAATCAATCCATGTTAAACCTAGTTAGTGGTTCTTAATTGGAAAGTGTCCTCACCTAATAATCATAAGCTAGCACCACCACCTCCCCGTTATCCTCTCGGTGCATGTGATTATTTTTAACCCGATGAAACATATATTCTCAGTACTCCTCTGCAAGTTCGTCCCAAAAAAATTTTCCACATTGAATTTTTAGATTTGGACTATTTTTTTGAGATAGAAATAATATAACATACACGATTCTGATTTAAATGAATGTTATTGATCGTAGCTAAAATTAGTACATCGGAGATTAAGATCGATACTCAAACTAAGACATAAGACTAATAATGAATGTGGCCCTGTTTATAATTTCTCCATGTCATTTCCCTTGAGCTCCAGTAGAGAATGTTACCATTTCCAGTAGTAGTTGTACATGATTATTATGATGACAGAATGAACTACGTACCTCATTCACATGGAGGCCAGAATCCCCATTGGCTTTTTACGTGTACAATTAAACTAATTTTTAAGGGTTTTCATCACTGATTCTCATGTGACTTTACAGTAAGCACTAACAGACTAGCTTTCTGTATGACTCCCGTCTTTAACGTTGTTTTAATCATTTGCAAATTCACACGTCAGAACTGAAAGAAAGGAGAAAAAATAGTTAAAACCGTGAGTCAAAAATATAGTACGAGGTTTACTTGAAATTTTGATGGATATATATATTTTTTTTGGTGAAAAGGGGATTAAATACAGCCACCTTGGTTAGGGTATAATGAGACGGGGATAAAAAACCCCTACATTGATTTAACTAACCTATTACAGTTGGAGGAGGCGAATCCAAGAGAGTTAATTCCACCAAATTCATCTCTGCCAACGATACTAAATAGTCAGCTATAAAATTATATTCACGATGGCTAACAATTACATATCAATCCCTATCCAAAAGATCTCTAATTGCCCTCAATAGAGTTTCATGAATACTTGGCTGTCTTCCTGTATCAAAAACCATCTTGACTACACTCTGTCTATCAACTTCTGCCTCCACTTGTTTATACCCTGAGTCCCAGGCCAAAGAGAGTCCTTGAAAGAGTCCCCATAATTCTGCGCCTGATGGATATTAGTATTATCATGGTTATTAGTTTAACAGGCAGCTCAGTTTGGACTGACATGATTAACTATTTATTTAATTTCTTGTATCCCTAAATCAAATCTAAAATTAATTTCAAAGGCTGCCAAATAACCCACAGTTGATATAGTCCATTGGATTGTCCATTCCACGCCATTATTTGTGATACCAAAAGCTGAGAAAATTCCGCAATGCTGAATCTTCATCGTGTCATAGCCAGCATTGTTATTTTGTCCCTTTGGTTTGATTGACACTATTCTTTTTCGTCTATTGTTTGGCTTTTTAGGCAATATATAGGTCAGCGATAGGGTGCCGGGCGCCCTTTACATTAGGACATAAAATCAATACAACATTAACATCACGAGCATGAATGACTCTCACTATGAGATCTGAATTGTGGTCGGCTTGAAATTTCTTCGGTAGTACTAATTTTTGTTCTTTGTTACTTTTGGTTGATCTACTGATATTTGGTACTCATCGATTATCTGAAACCATTATATTATATATAACTGAAGGAATATATGTTATCGATCCTAAAATTTACCCTAATATTCCAATATTCTAAAAATTTACCCTCAAAAAAGATATTCCAAAAATTTGACTCACTTAGTCCATTCTTTGAAGTAAGGTCACTTTGAGGAACCACAGAAACAGTGTGCTGACTGCAAAAATTGTTAATCTTGATAACTAACACTCCTGGTTTCAAATAACAGTCCTCCTCTCACTTCTCACAATATCTTTACTAATCAACAAAAGAGGGATGATACATGGAATATACGTAATTTACTCTATTTTTTTTTTCATTTCAAAAAAAATAATAATAATAAAATACAGAAACACAAAATGAAATAGAACCAAACAATTCATTTCTTGTGTTATCTTAAATTTATTAAGTAAATTATACTCCTATTTTGAAATAATAGTCCAAATATTAAGATGATTTTTTTTTGTTAAAAACAGGGAGAGGAACTAATAAGTTACAAAATGGCAAAGGAGTCTATAAGTGAATATTTCGACAATGACACAACCTGTGGTTAGACTTAGACTTAGCCCACAGAAAATGAAAAGTTAGGCAACAGTCTCTCTTGATGATGCAATGCATGGATTTATTTTAGCTAATTTTTGAATTGAGACAGGTCATGTGTAGTACATGTTGTCAACCCAAAATCACAAATAAAAAAAAAATAAAATCATTAAACACTATTTAATAAAAATATTTTTAATTTTCAAAAGAAAGAAAGAAAAGGGAAAACGAGAAGTTAATTGTGGAGCCACTGTTCCCATTTTGTGTGGGCCTGGATTGAGAGAGTGGGGGGGGGAAGTTGCCGTTGGGATAAAAAGCCCAACTGCTCTCTCAATCAATCTCAATCAAAATCGTCAATGGGGGGAGCCTAATGGATTTTATCAATTTAAGAAATTGGAGTTTTAATGTTTAAAATAAATAAAATAGATAGATGAACAACATGAGGTTGGAGATGAGAAATTTTTAATTCGGTTGCCTTTGTCTGATATTTTTGGCTTCTAACCCCTGAGTAATTATTCTAGATACTTTATATGCCATGTAAACTTGCCAAGAGAATAAAAATATAGAGATAAAAGTGTAACTTTGAAAATAAAAAACTGTATTTTTTAAAAAAATAAAAATAGAACGGTTATAATAATTGTTTACCCGGAAAATGACTTACAGGGCTTAAAAAAAAAAAAAAAGATCCGTAGGAGTATTGCAATAATCTTTCCAACATTTTTTGAAAAATTAGAGTTGATGTATTTATATAAATGTGAGTTTCCAGTCAAACAGAAACCAAAATGCCGCTTTTTCTTAGTCAGCATATTAATATCATTCTGGGGAAAAAAAAAGAAGAAAAAGGAGAGTAAATTAATCTCATTGGATCCTCACCGTAAAGGGTCAATATTTGGTTCATGAGGAAAAATGAAAAAGAAAAAAAGAAAAACATGTGAAATTCAAAGAAAGCAGCAGCAACCAAAGAGAAAACGACATCAACAGAAGAAAAGTTAGTAATGATTCTTCAACTTGGAATCCATTTGGTGCATGCTCATCTGTTTTGAACCTAATACTCTCTTCGTCTCACATTGATAATCCAGAATATGGAAAACGTTTAACTAGTTAGACAAATAAATTTGAATGGGATAATAATTCTCTGATTTCTTTTCCTCATACTTCATTAGTCCTGAAATTAAAGTTTGATTTAATAAATTAAAATGGTAAATTATTCAAAGAAAAAAAAATTCACAAAATAAAATTTAAGACGCAATTTGACTTTCAAAAGAATAGAATCAAGAATCACTGTTGACCAATATTTCAAAATGTCAACATAGAGATTTTCGTTCAAAGCAAGTTGTATAAAAAAATCTACCTTTTGGAAGTTGCTAGTTCTTCCCAAACAAACGACATTACTGACTTCCTCAAAATGTAAAACCAATGGATTTTGGGCAACCAATAGCTTAAACTCAACTTGTGAGGGCCCAGTGGAAAACCCAAGAATCAAACACTATTCTAACCAAACTCACCATATACAACGGATGATTGTACAGAATCTAATACTCAGAAACAAGAATTTGGTTTGAGAACTTCATGGAGTTTCTTTCAAGTAAATTTGATCTATCTAATCTTTTTAAGATACAACAGACATCTTAAAGGCTTAAACCAAATCAACTTTGAACACTCTTACGCAATGATCATCTCCGCAGGAGGCAAGCTGCATGCCACTAGAATCTTTACTCTTTTCTGGTGTTTTCCATTTTAACCGATGAACTGGGGAAACATGGCACATATATGGATCAAACTGTACCGCACATGCTGCAGTTGCTGCATCACCTGACTTGTGAGATAGACTCCAGAGTTCAATCAAACCGCTTTCCATTCCAACGGCGAGAAGCCCGTTGTTTCTTTGGCGACTAATGCCCATCCAGGATAGCGCAGTGACGCTACTCTTGAATGGTGGCAGTGTCAGAAGCAGCTTAACTGAACTTCCATTCTCCAATCCCCAGACTTTCACTGTCTTATCCCGAGAACCTGTAGCGAATTCGTGACCAAAAGGATTCCACGAACAAGCCCATATTATTCTTTTATGTGCTTCTTGCCTCGTCACAAGTTCATACGAGACTTCATCAGGCCCTGGAACAATCAAGACATGTAAACAGTATTATATGGCAGTTGAAAATTTTTCCCTTAAAACACAAGGTTATAGTGCATCCATTGTAATCCCAGTCAATATCTATTTACAATTTTTATGCAATATAGTTGTGCAAAGTATCATGCTACAGGTTTTCAACTCGGTTGATCCTCTTACGTTACAGGAGTGGAATCTGGAACTTATTTCTTAACATTAGAGAAAATAGCTCGTACTTAACCTACGTTATGGAGCCACATTTGCTCAGTTAAAACCAACAACACTAAAGTATGAACTAGGTAATCATTCAGAAGGTAAAGCATACCATGCTCTTTGATTGAGAAAACAGTAAAGTGGCGATCTCTAGAGACGGCCAAAAGAAAATCGTCATCACGAGAGAACTCCATCTGTGTCACTGTCAAACTGTGAGAATGCAGCCGGCCAACAGATTTCCAAGAACCAACTTGCCAGAGCCAGATTTCTGCTACAGATGCAGATTGCGCCTGCACAGAGTACAAGCTTTAAGCTATTTGCAATTACAGAAAATCAATCCATGGTGCTGTTATCCGAGAGAGTAATTTGTAAGTTGCAAGGACTATCTCCATTGTGCTTATCAATGTCAATGTATTGCATCCATATAGTGTTGTGGTGATTTAGTTAACAAAAAATTTTGAATACACAGCACTACTAAAATTGCATGACGAAGCTAGTAAATACCTTGCATGAAGAAGCTACAAGCTTTCCCTTGTGGTCGCAGCACAATGAGTACAATTCGTTTCCATGACCGTATAGCTTGTGGGACTCTGGCCATAGTGTATGCCATGATAGCTGTTCTTCAATAGGAGGTTCTGTAAATTCGACTGGAACAGCTTCTGGGATTGTTTCTAGTGTGTCTAGGCCATCATTAGTATTTTTATCGTTCGTCTCAGGTGCAACTGAAAACAAAAGAGGCAGCAGTCACATAATCTGGAAAAATGAGTCTTCTCTTTATTCAACATATTTTGACAGTAACAGAAGTAATCCAGATAGTATACAGAAATGGAATAGGTCATTTATGCCAATAAAAATAGTAAGGATTTGAAGTTTTCTACAACCATTGTAAAATCTCAAAAACAAACTTAGCGTTAGACTCACCTTGAGTATATATAGGTTTCTGTGATAGCCCCAAAGCAGACATATTAGCCCCAAGAATCTGCACATCACCTTTTAGTTCATCAAAGAAACTAGATCCCAGTGAAGCTGCATGGTTTAGAGTTTTTAAGAAGGAAAGAGGAGCTTCAAAAACTCTTGATACTTTCTCATCTGCACCACTCACAAAACGATGGTTTCCCTTTCCTTCAATAAAGGTAACACAGTTTATGTCATGCCCATGGACTTGAGGACGAGCAATTTCATGCCAATTTCCTAAATCATCTAAGGAAGATTTTTCAGCCCAAGGAGAAAAGATTCTGCTAGTCTGCCAAAGTAAAATAACTTGTAAGAACAACCTGATTAACACATAAACACAACAAAACATCACTAAAAACATCACACTGACTTAATGACTCAACAGACAACTACACACACAGGGTGACAAATAGAGATGGAAACAGGGGAAAGAATATATCATAGTTGATTAAGCAAAAAAGAATATATCATAGTTGATTAAGCAAAAAATACCTGATCATGACTGACAGACAAGACATATTCCTGGCCTTTGGCCCAAACAATGTCTGACACGGGGGCAAAGTGCCCAGAGGGTACTTTTTGCGGCTTCCAATCACCAGAAGTAACACCTACATCTTTCCACAGATGGAAAGATCCACCATAGCCATGAGCCAAGATAGCATCTCCACTTGGGTTCCAATGCCCACCATAGAATCCTAGAGCACAATGACTTAATTCACCAACAGTAACAACATTAATCCAGATACCAGTAGTCTTTTCAGGTTTCCAGATCATCATGGTCTTGTCCATGGAAGCAGATAATAAACTTTGAGGTTGATAACATTCATTCTCTTTGCTCATCAAAGGAGGCTGCCATGCCACGGAGTAGACCCAATCCTCATGCCCAATGAGCAAAGATTCCATGGAAATCTGATATGATGATGAGCCAGCATAAAAAACTGGTCCTTTGATATAAGAAATTAAGCTGATTTCTGATTTGTTATCATTCGCCAAAACGTCACGCGATGTTATCTTCCATATGCGTATACCTTTGTCCTGAGATGAACTGACAAGTAATATACATGTTTCACCATCTCCATCTACAGGAAAGGAGAAATCCAAACTTCTAATCCAATCAGTATGCTCTTTTAACTGACATGCAAGAACAAACTGGTACATGGGAACGCAAACAAAACAGAAGATCAGTTCATGGAAAAACAAACAGATTTGAATCACAAATGAAGGTGCATCAAGCTGTACATACTTTCCCACTTCTCTGGCCACAATACAAATGAATCTTATTATCCAACCCTCCCATAGCCAGGACTAGATGACCTGAATTTCCCGGCAATTCTGTAAGTGAAAGAGTAACCATGGTCTTTGGACCAATCGAAAGAGACTCCACACATGAAAGCTTACGGTCCCCTGCATAATAAGCATTACTGAACCACCTCATATTCACTTCAAACTATAAATAAATAAAAAAAAAAAAGAAGTAAAAAGGATATTGAAACTGGGAAACAGAAAAGAACATGATTTCCAAACAAGGGTGGATTTAAGCATGAGAAAACAAGTTAAGGGAGTTAATGGAATCTTTCTGTTTCATAATTCACAATAATTTCAGAAAGAAAACAAGGTCTAAATAGGATCATTCTCTTCTTCATGGTTATTATTATGAACATAATGCCACAAGCAAACTCATTCAGTCAACATGTTTTACCCACCAAAACGTGCAGGAAGGATTCTTGGCAGCTAACATAGTAATACTAATAATAATAACTAAAAATATTAAGAATATCATTCAGTTAATATTAGAATGAAACTTAATCAAAATAGTGAATGAATGACACTAAAGACCCCTGGAACTCACCTTCACTAGAGGAGGGAAAGACCAAATCCCAAATATTTACAGTACCATCAGACGAGGATGATGCAAACATTGCATCTTTAGTTGACATCAAGATTCCAGTAATGCACGTGACACCTTTCTTATGTGGTTGCGGTACTTGTAAGACATGCCTCCACTGTTCACAAAATCAGCAAACAATAAAAGACAAATCAGCAACAAAATTTATCCAGTCAATACACCTTACAATGTTACGAGACTTCAGGACTTTTTAAAACCAGTCATATGTGTCCTATGTGGGGTAGAATGAAGTTCGGCAAAAATGCCTAATCAGATTTGTACAGCTACTTCCCTTCACTAAAGACCTAATTATTGACATCAAAGTCATCGTTTCGGGTGCAATCCAGAGCACTAAACATTCTTTGCAAAGCCTGACCACTAATGTGAAGATGAATAGGTGAGATAGAAGGAACAGAGCAAAAAAAATTCAGAAATATTTGTTTCACGGGCAACAAGGGAGCTTCAGTTTAACTATTACAATACCAAAAACAATGTAACTATGTTCTGGTAAGTAAAGAAACACGGTCAACAGAAGAAAAGCTTTCAGAAAAGCTCCATCACAGGTTGCATTGTCCCTTTCTCTAGTATAACTTAAAATTAGCAATGGAGACCAAATGAGAACTAGACTACACAATTCAGCAGTGAAATAGAGATTTAAAATAACTACCTTCTTGTCTCCAGTAGAAAACTCCCACAAAATAATAACACCATCAGCATCTCCAGAAAGCAAAAAATGCCTCTCCATATCCTTAGCTGTAAACACAATTTCAATTACAAGATTTTAGATAACTGGAAGACCTTTAGAGTTCTAAAATTCTGGACCAAAAGAGGAAATGAAAGACGGCCTTGCACTATTTTAACACACAGTTCGAAGATAGTACCTTTGAAAGCAAACTTGGAATTCGGAAGCCAATAAGTGCAGTTAACTGAAGCCTTGTGACCAGGAAGTGTCGTCAAAATCTGAGCAATCTGCCCAACCAGAGACACAATAAAATCAAATAAAACCCGGATGAAAGCAAACAGTCCACATATAACTTCCAACCAAAAAAGCAGGAATTCTTCAAAGAAGAAGGAATGAAAAAGCGCTAGGGCGAACCTTTGGGCAGAAAATGGCGAGGGCGTTTTGAGCACCAAAAGAAACCAAATCACAGGCGCCCCACGAAACATTGTTCACCACTCTGTTACAACCTGCTCCTATGAACACTCTCTCCACTTTCGCTTCCACCCCATCGCTCTTCGAACCCATCTTTTCTCGCCTCCAATTCTTCTTAATACGTCGGAACAATTGCAAATCAGAGCTAGAATTGAAGATTTAAACTGGCAAAATAAAACTAGAGGGGTTTTAGAGGTTTTGGAACAGATTTTTGCTTTCAGGGGAAAAAAGGAGGAAGAAGAAGGGGAAAGGGATTTGTAAGTATGGGCTTGCTTATTTCGAAGTATTTGGGTTTCCTTCAAGGCCCATAAATATTTATTTGGGCCATACGGAAAATTCCGGTTCATCTTCAACCTTCATCCTGCACCAAAACACACAGTCACACAGTGCTCGAACATTCTCCCTCCTGATTAGAAGCAACCAAAAAAAAATAAAAAATAAAAAAATTGGCGAAATTACAAAAATGAAGAAGAAATAAAATCAAAATCGGTTATCAATTCCCTGTTTATCCGGAGAAGTAATTAACTAATGGCAATTCAAGTTCAATCCGATATCCGGTCGGCAATTCTATTTGCCACCGCCTTCCATCACAACCGCCACCACCACCACTCCCACAGACCGTCTATGTCTTGCTCTCTTATATTCCGCCGACTTTCTCTCCCGTGCCGGAGCTTATTTTCCGTTAAAGTTAGATCGTTCTCAGCACTGACTGAGAAGAGTAGCTCAACTACTGACGCCGACGAGAAGAAGCTTCCGACTAAGCCGTCCATATGCACCGCCGATGAGCTTCATTACGTCACCGCCAAGAATTCCAAATGGAGGCTCGCTCTCTGGCGTTACATTCCTCCTCCTCAGGTCTTATTACTTCTCACACTTGCACCTTTATTGTGTGTGTAATTTTCATTCCTTAATCGAAAGAGATGATCTGAATTGATGCTGATCTTAGGCTCCGAAGAGGAATCATCCGCTGCTACTGTTGTCAGGAGTGGGCACTAATGCAATTGGATATGACCTCGCTCCTGGGGTTAGTTTCAGTTATACTCCTTCCTGTTTTATTTCATGTTCATTTTGCCTTTCCATAGTATTGTTCCATGTTAGGTATGATCCACTACTGAATTACTGTACCAAATACCTGTTTGGAAAACGTATTTATTTAATTGTTGCGGAAAAAAGTGACGACCTACTTACCCAAAGTTGTCATTTAATTGTTGCATAAAAGAAAGAGCTTTTGAGTTTTGAAGAGATTATAATCTCTTCTTTTCTGATGCAAAATATATGTGTGCACAAGGATTTGATACCTGGATCCTACTATATAATTGTACATTACAGGAGAAAGATCTTTTGAGGTTTGAAAAGATTATAATGTCTTCTTTTCTGATGCAAATTCTGTAGTCTTCGTTTGCCCGTTACATGTGTGCACAAGGTTTTGATACCTGGATCCTAGAAGTACGAGGAGCGGGTTTGAGCACTGAAGAAATGGATTCTAAAGATATCGAAAAATCTGCTCATGCAATTTCTGATAAAATGGAAGAGGCCGCTGAGAATGCAACAGATGGGGTGCTTTCTGCAGTGCATGAGCAATCAACTGACAGACAAAAGCCCTTAGCAGAATCTGAGGTTTCTATGTTAAATCAAGATAGTACGGGAATTTCAACAGACGAGGATTCAACGGATAGCGATCAGCTATGTTCAGTGCATGAGCAATCTACTGATGGACAAAAGTCCTTAGTAGAATCCGGAGCTGCTATGGCAAATGAAGATAGTATGGGACTTGCTACAGCTTGGGATGAATCGAAATTGGTAGAAAAATTAACTGATACTTTTATGAGCCTATCAGAAAGACTCTCTGGCTTCCTAAATGAGAGGCAGTCTAGTATCATGTCTGCCAAGTTGTTTGATCAGCTATCTAAACTTTTTGAAGATTCCTTTCTGTTTGAACGCTTTAATGAAGTAAAGGGAAAGCTATTAAGTTTACTGGAAACAAGACAAAATTCTAGTGTCGCTTTGCAGATTAGGGAATTGAGTCAAAAGCTTGTAAATATAGTTGAAGAGGGCCAACGTTCGGTTTCACCTCAATTATATGATATGCAAGAGCGTCTGGCTGCAACAGTGGAAGACTTCCAGAAACAACTGGAACTGATCATCAAATATGACTGGGACTTTGATCATTACCTGGAGGAGGATGTTCCTGCTGCGGTGAGGTGACTTTTGCCCTTGTTGTAGTCCATAGCATAATTCAAAATTATGTAACTCTGGCTTGGATTAGTAGGATGCGATAAGTTTAACCTTTTCTCCATATATTTATTATAATCCTATTTAATGCATGTAGATGGAATATATAAGAAGTCAATGTGGACCTGCAGATGGCAAGCTTCTAGCAACTGGACATTCTATGGGAGGCATATTGTTGTATGCTATGCTATCAAGATGTGGTAAATTTGACATCTGGTTATCTGATACCTATATCTTGATTGGTTGTTTTATAACTGATACGCTTTGAACTGGAGTGTGTTTTCTCTATATAAAAGTCTTAAGTTGGCCTTCTGAAAAAATTATGCTGGGCCTATGATAGTGTTTTCTTTTCCTGCCAGTTTTTCTTGTGCACATGCTTCTCTTGAATCTAGTCACTAATTCTTAAAGATAGTTAATTGTAGCAATCAAATGTAGATGTGAGATGTTATAAAATATTTGCAAATGATGTATCCTTTGCAGAACTATACTCTTTCCTGATCAAATGAATGATTTATGTAGTATGTTTTTCTTTCTTACCATAGTCCCATGACGTGGGGATGGAAAGCTCCTTCTCTTTTTCCTGATTGTCTGACTTTTGAAGGTGCTGAGGGAAGGGAGTCTCCATTCGCTGCTATAGTTACTTTGGCCTCATCTCTTGATTACACATCTTCTAATTCAACACTGAAATTATTACTGCCCCTTGTAAGTTGAATGTGTTGGTCTTGCTTAGTTCTTGAGTGAGGCATTCTGCTGTAAACTAGAGGTGGAGAGTTAGTATCGGTTTGATCCAGCTCTAACTTTAGAATCTTTTTCCGTGTAAACTATGAACATCTGTGCAGGCTGATCCAGCACAGGTTCTTAATGTGCCGGTTGTTCCTTTAGGAGCCTTACTGTCGGCTGCATATCCTCTTTCATCTAGCCCCCCTTACGTTTTGTCTTGGCTCGTGGATCATATATCAGCTCAGGATATGATGCATCCAGAGCTGTTAAAGAAGCTTGTCTTGAATAACTTCTGTAAGTTTGAATGTACCTATCTTTACCCTATGCTTTTGTAGTCGAATTCCAGCTATTTGTATCTTTTTATTAGAATGAAGTGGGTAAGGAAAGGTTGAAAGAAAAGTTTTACTGAAAACTGTGGACATTGAAGAATCCAGGCTCAGAAATATATTTTGAGGCTAAAAGTTTCTTTTGTGTCGATTTTAACCAAAATTTCATGGTCCCAAGGAAGCTTTTGTGTAAAGCTTCTTCATTTTACCAGCGTGGTATTCACTTTCAGAAACTTGTGGTACTCCTTTCTAGTAACTGTATTGTATATCGATCTCCAATTGCAGGTACAATACCTGCTAAACTTTTGCTGCAGCTAACCACAGCTTTTCGAGAAGGAGGTCTTCGTGACAGGAGTGGTACATTTTTGTACAAAGATCATATTCACAAGTCCAATGTCCCCGTCTTAGCTCTTGCAGGAGACCGAGACTTAATTTGCCCGCCTGAAGCTGTTTATGGTATTATGCGATTTCCATGTCTTCAATTTGTGGTATTTATTGACTGGGAATTTTTAACTGTTCTTGACCATTATCCATTGACCTGAGCAGAAACTGTGAAGTTGCTCCCTGAGGCCTTGGTAACCTACAAAGTGCTTGGAAAAGATGAAGGTCCACATTATGCTCACTATGACTTAGTTGGGGGCCGATTGGTATGTTGAATAAGGTTTATTGTTCAATGAATTGTGTGGTGTGATTTCATTCGTGTTAATAGCCTTGTGTTTTTTGCCTATAAATTCAGGCTGTTGAAGAGGTATATCCATGCATAGTCGAGTTTTTTAGCCGTCATGATCAGGTGTAATTTTGAAGGTGAGAACTTCAGTCAGTAACTTTGTTGGGTTGATAACAAATTTTCAATCTTAATTTTCCTTTCTGTTTTTGATGCACATCTTTTCATTATATAGGATTCGTTTTGAGGATTTAGCTGGAACTTATGGGTATGCTGAATTCTGTGCAGTAGTCATGGGCCCGAGGCATGTTTTGTTGTTTTTATTAGTTTGTAGTCGGTCTATCATCACAAATTTAAGTTTATATTTACATTCACCTTTGTCCCATCATTTTTTTTTTTTTCGTTTTGTGGTGGCTTAGACTGTAGACGGTGAGAAAATGTGTAAAGAGTTGATCAGGTAACAAAAGGACTCAAGTAGTGTAATTCACAGTACAAGGAAGTTGAACATTGTAGTTGACTGAAGACAAAGAAAGTATCTTGTTCTTGTACAATGAATTTTAAGGGATTCACCCCAAAATACTTCATCAATTATCTGTCTTTGTAATAATGGAATATCATGAAGTATTTACAATATCAAAATTCTTCCAAATGCATCGTAGATAACTGAGGTTCATAGCTGGAACCAGGATTAAAGTTCCGGTAGACCTATTTGTTAGCAATCGGTGCTGTTTTGCAGACGGGGCATTCGTTCTTCAGCTGAAGCCACTGCTTAATGCAGTCAATGTGATGGCAATGTCCACAGCCAAGTCTTCCGATACTGTCTATAGTTCTGCAACCTTCCTGCAAAGGGCAGTAAAACCGTATTGTTTGTAGTGTTGAAGAAGACACATAGGGGAAAGGGTAAGGTTAATGTCGTATGATTTTGGACTTACTTGACAGATGCTGCATTTCCATTCTTTATCAATGGAGATTAAGAGAGGACCTGAAACAAATTCTGAAGGCTTGAATATACACAGGCAGCCAAGGATCTCTTCTTCACTCAAGCCTGTCCCTACGTACCCAATCTTTTCACTCAAAATAAGCAATTCCTGAAACAGCCAAAAAGAAAGAACAAGAAAAGGAAATGTAACTTAGACAAACTTGAACATGCAATCATTTGAATTACTGCTTGAATAGTGTATGTATAAATGCAGAAATGGAATAAGGTGAGATTATGATTTGGGCCCTTTTTGTAAGTACCTCATATAGGGCGCTGTCGATATTATGCCTCCAGTTTTCATCCAACCTTCTCTCAGAGATTGCACTTACCTTTACCATATCACGGATTAATCAAGGACTAAAAGACTTAATCATGAAAACGAAGTTAAAGAAGGAAAGATGATGATAAGTGGGAACCATTAATCAAACCTCTGTAATTTCTCGGTCGGTACGATGATGACGCACATGACGGTGATGTCTACCATTGAATGAATTGGCTCTGGAAAGCATTGGAATTGGGAGCCTTTGTGGGGATGGACCAGAGAAATAATTGCTGTTCCTATTCCTTCTTGAAACTCGAGAATTCTTCAAGAAGCAAAAAAACACAGATAGATCACAATCAAAGATCAAATCAAGTTGGTCTCAGTACAATATTTGTGGAAAAGAAATTACCTGTACATGCAATGGACTAGTACTAGGAACAACATCACAGGAAAAACTGATCCCAGGTGGAGTACAGCAAATATCCACATTGGCCGGACTTCTGGCTGCCCTGTAACTATGTGCTTTCCTCCTCCCCTGTTTCTTCCTTCTTTCATTTCCGGTCTCCCAATCAGCTCCTGATCTGATGATCTCCGGCGCTGTCGCCGCCGGCATTGACGGCCCTTTACAACCAAGTCCCAAGAAAAACATCTTCTTGGGCTTTCTGCAGATCAACAATCCTCTGGGTTCACCACCGGGGCTGGAGATTTTATTCAATCTGGAAGTCTGCTGATGAGGAATGATGGATGATGAACTTTGGGGAGTCTGGTTAACATCTGAGGCTAAATTAGGCTGATTTCTTTGCTTCCTAATCTTTGCATGTTCAACTACTCTTGAAAGGGTCATGATTGAATTGAACAGCTTCAGCAAAAAAAAAAAAAAAACCCAAAATTGCAGCAAATTAAAGTTCTGCAGATTCTTTCACACAGATCTTTGCAGTTTGGTCAGAAACAACATGATTCATGAAATGGAGAGAATTATTTGATGACGTACTACAACCAGAATTGTGTGTCGGTAAAAAAAAAAAAACAGCTAGTTTTTTCGATTAACAATCATTTTGGGTTTTGTTTGGTTTGTTGCAAACAAATCTGCTGCGGTTTCCAAGTACTTCTTCCTGTAGTATACTTTGTCTTGTTTTACCTGCCTTATATCTTCATCTTCTAGTTAATTAATACTCCCTCCATTACAAAATAAGTGTCATTCTACACTTTGCACATAGTTTAAGAAACTCTTAAATAGGGTAATAAAATTACTTCAATATCCTCAACCAACCCCATTAAAAATATATCCACCAATAATATTAATTCTTTCGAAGGTAATTTTAAAAATTTTAGACAAAAAGTGCATTGAAATATGAAAACGATACTTATTTTGAAATTTTTCTATTTTGCTAAAACGACACTTATTTTGGAACGAAAGGAGTAGCTCTTTTTCATAATAATATAAAATTCAAACATTACAATTTGTACAAACCGTCAATAAAACCTTTTTTTAATAACTTCAATTGTTTTGGCATTTTCTACCGAATTGTTTGTTTATTGCTTGTCTAATTCTTCTCTTTTCTACATTCCTTAATTCAAATTCCGCTTTTAACGACAACTCTCTTATTACTACCCTCTTTCTCCCACAAATAAGCCATTGACTATCTTGAGGAGAAAAGACAAATGAGAGAAATCTCCGGTACATTATTTGAATGCGCAATGAGACGAATAAATTAGCGAAAGATACATTTTTTTTTTTGGTTACATTTAAGTTGTAACTATGAAAAGACGTATCTAATCAGTTACTTATCGGGGTGTCATTGTATTAGTATCATAAAAATACGTTTTAAATTATTATGATGAGTATCGAAACAATAATCTTAATTAACATAGATGGATCCGATCTGAAATACGTCATAGTCAGCTATTTTGTTAGTAGCTTGGTTTGTCTAGCAATAGTGTGAAACTACAACATAATTCTTTTGAAGATGAAAGCGTAAAAGTTAGTATTAATATTCGCGAATCCCGCATTTGATCACGCAATACAATTCTGTCCATTTTCTAATAATGCCATTGGTGAAATGTGAAGCTTCTTTCACTACATCAGATCTGAATACAACAGTTGGATAGTATTTTAAATGGAATTTTAAACTACAAGTAGCTAGATAATAGTGATAGAGATATCTTTATTAATTTGGGTTGAATCATAGTTCCTCACTCTACATCTTTGACTTGTGAAAAAGTAGTACATGGTAAACAAAAAGTAAATTGAACTCTTTTTATTTTTCATGTATTTGTAAGGAAAAAAAAAGAAAAAGACAGAGAGACATATGAGATTAGTGAGTCCAATATTCAATGCAGCGGCTGTACCACATCAGTTTATGCAGTAAAATTGATTTGGGTTGTTATTTTTGTAAAAGAGAGAAATATACATAGGGTAAAAAAATACCCTAATATTCATCTCGCATTGGTTGGCTCCACTAAAAAAAGTACATATTGGAACTTCTTTTTTTTTTTCCCATTATCATTAGCACAATTCCCTCCTTTAAGATTTAAATAATTAAGCAAATCGATGATCTTCTACATACACATTTTTTTGAAGCAAAAGAAAATAAGTAAATGAAGGAAAGTAAAAAAAAAAAAAAAGGTATTTTCGATGATTATAATCTAAGAGATAAAAGGATAACCATTTTGATTTCTTTTTTTTTGATTTTTTTTTTTAAAATACGAGAATTAACTTTAAAAAGGAAAAAGGATTAATTACCGCCTTCATTAAATCCTGCATGTACATATATCACACAACTCCTTTCCAAAGAAAACTTAAAAGGTTATGTTCCAAATTTCCAATCTTGCAAAACCCTTAAACCAAAGATTTTTAAGGCTCGTAATATTCTGGTACCATGAATATTGACGATGATAATCCGCCGCTTTGCGCCGGAGGATGCGGCTTCTATGGAAGTGAATCAACTAAGAACCTTTGTTCCAAATGTTACAAGGATTCCTTGATGAAGAACCTTGTACATCTTGATGATCATCATCAAGAAAAAGAAGAAGAAGTAGTAGAAGAAGAAGATTTGACAAAAAATACCGTCCTCGGGCTGCCTGCTATAAGCATGAATACTTCTACAAGTGCTGATGACGACGAATTACCGGAGGCTAAGAAGAAGGAGAAGAAGAGGTGTGGAAGGTGTACGAAGAAGGTGGGATTATTGGGATTTGAGTGCCGTTGCCGGGGAACGTTCTGCAGCGTTCATCGGTACCCGGAATCGCATTCATGCAAACACGACTTCAAGACTTCGGGTCGCCATGCTGTTGAAGTGTCTAATCCGGTTTGCGTTGCTGATAAGTTGGACTATAGGGTGTAACCAAGTTCTTTTATTTCACATTATAAATTGCTCGCCCTGTATGTGTTTGTAGTTCCTGAATTACGCCCCGAATGATCATCATTCATCAATATAGGTTGTGACCTCCATTATTAATTTGGTATAATCTTCATCTTGTCCCACATTTTTAAATGATGAGACTAATTAAACTACTCCTTGTAATCTCATTTTTAAGGCATGAATCAAAACTACATTCAATATGACATTCGAGACTCTCTCCACTTGTCAATTGCTTTTAGTTTTTATTATATGGCTGATATTGCTTTTGGATTTGGGAACAATATTTGAGATCATGGTCTGAGAAAATGAACCACTTTAATTTCATGTCTTTCTTTTTTTCAGTCAATTGATGAAACTTGAAAGTATATCTTTCGGATTTTTGATGGACTTTAAGTCATAGTGTTCCTATACTGGGGAAAGATCCCAAACTTATCATAATCTATTTTGCCATATTCAACACATTTTGGTTTTTTCTGATGCGATAATAAGATATCAGGCTAGTTGCAACAACTTCAGGAGACATGAAGAAATGACTGATAACTTCCAAAAAAAAAAAAAAGAAAAAAAAAGCAGCACTTCTCTTCTTGTCTGGAAAAGCTTATATGCAATCTTAGCCGCATCTAGTTTATTTGTCTGCCCTTATTGAGAGAGGAGCCCCTTAACAACAATGAAGATGCGTTTGAATAAATGCAGGGAAACAGATGTGTCAGGGCTACATCAAAGGAGATGGATCCTCATTCACAATTCTACTGTTGAAAAGGATGGCCTTTTATCTCTCAAGATTTGTGGACTATATATTTTCACATCATCGTGTCCCCATTGCTCAACAATTTGACCTTGACTCAATTTTTGGACACAATAAGATTAGGTATGATAAGAGTGATGGATCTCATATCCATATTATATATAGAAGGTCACAAATTATGTATCAGGTTCATATTATCCAAAAAGCAAGTTGTGATCATATCGCGACGTTTGAATTTTTCATGTTAAAGTCGTATTGTTTTATCGTATGGTGTCACACCTCTCTTAACTTACAAGATACAAAGGTTATACTTTTGTTGGGATCTTCTTAGCCCATCCCTCAATTTGATATATGTAGCTATATGTGTCAAAATTTATGCATGTTATGAATGGCAGAAAACATAACTTCCCAATCAGTGATGATTGATAGTGGGATAAAGGTTTGGTTGTCTCCCTTGTCCCCTAAAGTCCTCGCATCTCTAATGCCAAGTTTTACTGCTTTGTTTTGTTCACTGCCTTATAAATGAGAAGCGCTATTCAGAGAAGGGCTATTGAAATGCAAAATATATTCAGTTAACTCATCAGCTCAGATACTTGTTTTTTTTACAAAAAAAAAAAAAAACTCATCAATGGATTTGAATGGATCAAGTTACCTTCTAAATCATGCAACATTTCCCCATGTTTATTATCAGGGAAAAGATGGGGAGAACATCATTGATTTGGGCCTTAGCTTAAAGGTCCTGCAGCCAGAGTCTTATCACACCTCTCCGCATGGTAAATACTAGTTGTTTAATAAGTCATATACATCACAAGGAACAATTTTCAATTATTGTAGTATTGAGGTTGGCATGCATATAGGTTTTGCTGTCCCAAGTTAATTATAACGGGTTATATAGAGTGCTAGATAAGTAAAGTGTCAATTTTCTGTTGATTATATTTTCTCCTCAGCCTAAATTCCTGATACAGGATGGGTGGAAGGTCGTCAATCAACTCTTAAGAAGCCATTTTACAATCTCTTTGTGAATTTGATTGCTGAATAATGATGGTCTAAGAAAATGTGTTCCTTTAGGTTCCTATTTCTTTGTTTGCATGCATGAGAGTGCATTTTATGTGGTTACCTAATGCATGCTTACATTGTAGTCACTCTCTTTTAAGTTTTAAGTTGGTAGCTAATGAACAAAGTCTACTCCTTTTTGTTGATGTAACACAACAGATGAATTTGAAGACCTTTTGGATTGGAACCAGCTTCATCCCCAGTTGAGAAATTCAAAGACTGATCATGAACATCTTCAAACCAATATTAATGCAGCAACTTATTACGACGAGGAAGCCGAGGGGATTCAAAGCAAACGGCGTTGGTCATATCATGTGAAAGTGAATATGGATGGAATAGTTGTTGGGAGGAAGATTTGCATCCTTGATCATTCGGGCTATTCAACACTTGCACTTCAGCTTGAAGAAATGTTTGGTATATATGTGCACAACTCTGTCCTGTCTGAAACTAATTGTATTTATCTTCAATATTTGATCTTCTGATCATAATTTTTGCTTGTTATCAGGGAAGCAATCTGTATCAGGTCTTCGGCTGTTTGAAGCTGTATCTGAATTTTCGTTGCTATATAAGGACACAAAGGAGCAGTGGAGAGTTGTTGGTGATGTTCCTTGGAAGTAAGTCATATAAATTTTGAATCATCTACAGTACATCACTCATATAGCCTTAATTCTGTCTTGGAAGTTCCAAATCAATTCTCAAATTTCATTTCACAGCTTTTTTCACAATGTGGAACTAAAACAGTTGGAGCAGCTACTCATACTAATCACTTTTCCTCCATTTCTTTCTGCAATTTTGGTCTGATGGAAATGTATGATCAAACAGGAAAAACTTATTGCTTCTGCCACTAATATTAATTTGAACAGGGAATTCATGGAATGTGTGAAGCGGCTAAGAATTGTGCGGAAAGATGCGTTTTCAGCACTGAATTCGCTTTAACGCTTTCGCATCAGCCAGGGCTCAGTTCTAAGCAATCTAATACCTGTTAGGCTGTTCCTAACTTCAAAGTAGTTTTATCCAGCTTCCTAAAGTTTACAGATTAACAATGTTGATCTTACCATATTGTACTACGTTTATTTGAATTCCGTGGATGTTCTGATCAAGTGATTTGTAGTGTAATTTCTCTTACAGAAAAGGTACCATTTCAATCCCCCTTCAAACCCCTGTAAGTCACATTTTGTAGAGCTAGCTTTTTCTTGCCTTTTTAACTCGCAAACTGATGTTGCAAATGGAAGTTCTTAAACAATATTGCCCCTTCATCGTACCTGCAAGAATATTATACTTACTCCCATATGCTTTGAATGTGTTGAGTGTGCCTAAAATCCCAAGTCATCACAACTGTTCCATCCATTCTCCTGATCACAAAGCTTTCAACCAGCACAAAGCATCCAAACTCATTCCAATCACCATCTCCTTCAAATTCCTCTGTTCTCTCCACCTTTACTTGCCTTTCTTTCCCACCTTCCCATCCACCTCTTTCTTGCTCCCATTTAATTCTCTGGACTAATTCCACACTTAGCCCCACAACAGTTGCTTCCCTTCCTTCTTCAGCTTTCCCAAAACTCCTCAACAGTATTGCCCCTTCAACTGCATTACCCTCATCCCAATTATCAGCTCTGTTTCCAGCAACATATACAGTTTCTCGATCCAGGATGACATCAACACTCACAGATTTCCCCTCCCGATGATGATTTCGGCTCGAAATTATCTGTTCCCACTTTTGCTCTAATGTCACCTGATAATAACGTGATCTATTCACCTGATCACTCACTTTTCCATCCTTGACAAACATAAATGGACTATACCATTTCCCCACTACGACGGCCTTGGAAGTCCTGTTTGATGGCCGGAAATTGAAATCCGGCCGGCGAGCACGAAGAGAGGCATTCAGGCCACTTGCAGATTCATCTAATTTATACTCCAGTGGAAATCCAGTCCAAATATCCCACCCTCCTCTTTGCATGAAGTAGGGAATAATACCATCAGGTGCCACTGATCTGGCACGAAAGTAACAATTGTAACTGAATTTGGATGCTTCATACACTTGGAATTGTTGATAAATGTTTCTTGGATCAAATGGCTTTGGTGGGCTGCCATTAAAACAGCGCCAGAAACAGCAGGTTGTCATATCACTTTCCCTTGAGCAAGTAAAAGCTTGTCTAAAACAATGGAAATTAGATCAAGTTATAAAGCAATTAAGCTAGCTAGCTCATGGGTTTTACACATTTCCATTCATATTGATTGATGATGAATTGACTTTATCTAGGAAGAAAACAGAAAGCCTACTGGCTGAAATCCCAACAAATTGTACCAAAGATTCAAACTTGGAAAGAAAGAAATAATTGAAATCTAGAGCATATTACCCTTGGTATTCTCCATTTGGGATGACAGCATAGTAGGTTTTGGAAGATAAGGGGAGATTAAGAACTGGGATCAGGATAATGTTCTCCAAAGAAGATTGTGGGATATCACAAGTAATCAGTAGATCAGAACGGAGACCCAACTTAATGTTCTGAGGAAAAGGCAAACTTTTCAGGCGAAGATTCAGGCACAACCCTGAGCAAGAAGTCTCTGATGAATCTTCTCCATCTTGGATTACCAAGTATCCTGAATTTGGACCATCAGGGAGCTCTGAAAGAGCTTCTGGGTTCTTGATATACTCAGAACGAGCCCTAGCAACATACATTTCTTTTTTTTGCGTTTTAATCAAATAGAAATAACTTATATTCAAATAGAAAACTATAAGAAACTAGTTAGATAATTTCAGAACAGGAGCAAGAAAAGATGTTGAAAATCTATATGTTGGGTTAAGATGTTAAAACCCCACCACATGGAAAGATGCAGCAGCTAGGTGCAAATTATTGGTGCCTTTGGACCCATGAAATTTAAGACAATGCATATTATCTCCATTTCGTGCTTTACATTCCAATAGAGAGGAATTTGGCATATTGCTGGGGCATTTGGTATGATCTTTGAATTTCATTGGCATTCCAATGCTTTGTTAGTACTCCTGGGCTGCCTGAATATTTCGAAATTGTAGAAGGCAATGGACTACCTAACTCAAGGTTTCTAACCCATTGGGAATGAGATGTGAAGCTTTAGCTGAATTTTCGTTGCATGTTCCTTGGAAGTAAGCCCATTTTTTTGAATCATCCATAAACCAGTCCATCACTGAAATAGATTTTCAGACCTTTATTGTGGTGCCTGCCCAATGGGCTCATACTCTTGAATTGCCCGCTCTTTACTCTCCTTTTCCGTTTTCTGCCTGAATTCTTAAAATTCTACTGCTTTGTTATACCTTCTGGTGGAGCCAGGTTCTGATCTTGCACAAGCTTCTTTTTTTTTTGGTTTTTGGGTTTTGAAACTGCAATTTATAGTCATAATGTAAGCAAATTACAATTCAGAGGCCGATAATAGTGTTGCATTTGCCATTCTATGGGCATTCTATACCATATCTCTTTTATCTTTGCACAAACTATATTTTTACTTTTTTACCATAGGAGGAGGACCATCGACTTTAGCTGAAATTCATGATGATGGTGTCCCCAAACTAGAGTGCCTACTTATAATATCAACATGTTCTTTGCTCCATTGTAAAGGAAATCCAAGTGTCATGTTCCTCCTTTTAGCTCTTTATATGTCTATTTAGTTACATCTCATTCACACGAACTTGGAAAGCAGAAAAGTTGAGATTCAACAACATTTAAGTTACCATTTTAAGAAACTTTGGTACGGGAATCCCGGGAATCCTTGGAATCTTTAACTTTCTACGGGGAAAAAAAAAGTATGCTTGTGTATGTACATCTAACTCATTAATTAGCTGGAACATAAATTCTGGTATACATTAGTTTTTTCTCAGGAACATCTGTCATAGTTTTGTTATGACTTTACACACAAATTAATCAGGAGAAAGATTCTCTACTTTTTTTCTTGTTGGAAAAGTTTTAATAAGAGAGGTTATAAGATGCTTTGTTTGACACTTCTTCATCACGTCTAATGTAACATACAACAATCGTGTCTCATTAATAAAACAATTATCGTCTCATTTATTTTATGTATATACAAAAGTAAAGTAGTATAGAGATGGTTTCATTTTTGACCAATAAAAGCTAAAGCAATGCATGTCACCTTTAGCATTAAAGCAAACATCCGTGACCCCGAATGTTTGATTATATCAAAGCCATGTCACGAGGCAATTGTAAAAAAAAAAAAAGCAGACTCATTACCAAAATGGATTTGCAACAGAGACTGCTGATTGTGATTGCCTCTGGTTAAGCAGCACCGAACATTAAAGAAACACACCTTAATCAGCGTGGAAACGTGACAACAAAAGACAAAAGCTCTGCGATTAGAGGAAGAGGACAATACTTTTAGGCATATGCACATATGACAATCTGAAATCACTTTCACTCTTTGGGTCCTTTCAACTGAAAATAACGTGAAGAATTTTTCCTGAATGTTTAGTCACATTAGACCCTGATGATGCCAGAATTCTCAAAATTCCGGCATTACTCAAATGGACTTCAAGAAGCTCACTTAATACACACAAAGGATGCAGCAAACATGTACAGAGGGGGAAAAATCAATATATATCAATCAAGACGAATTAACAAATAGACAGTTATATATTCTACATTGTTTTTGTTCATGCAGAAGATACAGGTAACCTATCCAAAGTATCCATTACATGCCGCATTGATGGCCTCCTTTCAGGACTCGTTTGGATGCATGCCATCGCGATCTTTAGAACGGCGATCATTTCCTCTTCTTTATCAGCATCTGGAGCTAAAAAGGGGTCTAGCACATCTGATAATGGTTTCTTCTCTTCAATGCATGATTGCATCCAATGCACAATGTCGATTTCTGAAGCACCCACTTGGATCAGTGGTGGCTTTCCGGTGATCATTTCCAGTAATATTACTCCATATGAGTAGACATCCCATTTCTGTGATGGTTTCACCACTTTCAATGCCTCGGGGGCTTGGTAAAAGGATCCAAAACTTGCAGCTGAAGTCATTGTGCCGACTTCGGATGGTGTGTTGCCTCCTGGTCTTTGTAGCTGCTTCTCAGAAATCATTCTACTGGATTGCAAAGTTGGGGTCCCTCCAGTGATATTCGCTAGACGTCCCAGCCCAAAATCAGAGATTTTAGGTTCCATATTATGTCCAAGCAATATGTTAGACGGCTTAAGATCACCGTGGACATACTTCTTGGGACTATATTCATGGAGATAAGCCAAACCTTTAGCAACTCCTTTCATTATTCTCAAGCGCATTGACCATGAAAGAGGTGTAAAGGTCACCATTCCAGGCTTTCCTGAGAACAAATATCAGATTCAGTTATGAGTGAAGACAAAATAACAAGCAGTAGAATACCAGATTAACAAATACAGTTCACATCATTATGGATAAATAAAACATACCGTGAATAGCCGAGGTAAGGTTTCCATTCGGTACAAAGTCATATATGAGCAACTTCTCATCCACTGACCAGTAATAGGCTCTCAGGGTTACAACGTTAGGATGTTTAAGCTTCCCAATCGCCTCAACTTCGGTCTGAAATTCTTTGAATCTTTGAGAACCACCTTCTCCAAGTCTTCTGACAGCTAAAACAAGCCCATCTTCAAGCACAACCTTATAAACAATTCCAATCCCACTCTTTCCCAGCACAAATGCGGATGCTTTCAGTAATTCATCTAGGTCAAACGCCACCTGACCATCTAGAGCCACAAGATCGTATTGTTCCACATGTTCAGATAAAGTTTCTGATTCGTCCTTCCTAAAGCATAAGCACTCTTTTCCCCTTTTTCCATCTTTCCCAAAACCATACCCGTCAGCATTTTTCTTTCCACAAGGGCATATTCTGGAGTAACAGTAAGAGAACAGCAAGCCAACGATGCAAATACCAATAACATCGCAGACAATAATTGCAATAACAGCACTCTTACTGAGTCCTCTTCCTCTACCAACATTGCCATCATCTTCACCCTGTGGAGGGGAATTACTGGGCAAGAAAGGATAGGAAGCAGGTGAACTTGCCTCACTATCTGAACAGGGATTTTTCAATGGAGGGCCACAAAGGCCAGGATTTCCAATAAAAGCTGTTGGCCCTCTGTTAATTAGTGCACCATTTTGTGGGATAGGACCGCTTAAATTATTGAATGTAAGATCAATATAAACCTTTTCAGGAAGATTACCAAGACTAGGGGGGATTGAACCACTAAACAAATTATGAGACAAATCAACAGTTCCTTGCAAATTAGACAAACTTCCCAAGTCACTGGGAATTGAACCCTCAAATTTATTATATGAAAGATCAAGTTTTTCCAATGACGCCAAATTAGTCCCAAAGCCATGAGGCAGACTACCAGTAAGATTATTTTGACTGAGGTCAAGAACTCTGAGTCTCTTACACTGAATTAATGATGCAGGTAATGAGTTATTGAACAAATTCTGAGACAAATCCAGAGATTGAAGGTAGCTAAGATTACCTATTTCACTTGGAATTGGCCCAGAAAGGGAATTTCCATAAAGAACCAAACTTTGCAGTCCCTGAGCTTTAAAAATCTCTGAATTTAAGCTACCATAAAACAAATTATTCCTCAAATTGACATGCCTGAGCTCAGGAAGAGATCCCAGTGAAGACGAAAGAAACCCAGTGAGTTTCTTCTTAGGAATGCTAACAGAAACAACTTTTTGGTCTTTGCATGTTATGCCATTCCATGAACAAGGGGTTTCATCAGAATAGTTCCAATTGTTCATGGACCCTTCAGGGTCTTGCTGGATGGATTGCTTGAATGACATGAGTGCAACACCTTCATCATTCAAGCAACCCACAAAGCCTTGAAAGCTATAAAGACTTAAAATGAACAAAACCAGCAGCCCCAACATTTCCAATAAAGTTACCGTTGGAAATGCTGAGCTCAAAAGAACAAAAAAGAAGATGGGCTTAAAGCTTTTACCTTTGTGCAGTAGAAAAATCAAAATTTGTAGCAGAGAAGTAGCTTCAGACAAGAAAATGAGATGTGGGTTTTGGGAGAAACAGAAGAAAGAGTATAGGAGAGTGTATGAAAGGTTTGACAGGAAGCAGAGTGGTAAGGACTATTGAAAGAAGAAAAAGTCTGTGTGTTGGAGAAAGGTAAAGTTGGCTTCAGCTAGCAAGAAGAAAAAGACATTGGGAAGATATATTATTACTAAAATATTTTTTTATTTTTTTAAAAAAGGGAGAAAATAAAAGGTTAGGAAAACAAAGAAGCTAGGACATAAATTATTGTACTAGTTTTCTAGAGAGCAGGAAAAAAAAAACAAAAAAAAACACCGGAAATGCCAAAATGGGATACAATTAGGTGACAGATTTATAGGAAAAAAAACTATCCCCCATTTTAGAACGAATTATAGTAGTCTTCCGGATGAATATGCATAATGGCTACATATGCCATGAAAATGACTTTTCGTTATGAACTTTAAGGTTGGTTTAGTTTTTTATTTTTTTTTAAAGCTTAAGGCCGCTCCAAAGCTTGTTTTAATCTTTAAAGAGCTCTACTCAATATTCTACATTTCTATACAGTCGTAGAATATGTTTTTCCCCACAGAAACACAATGATTTCCCAACGGTTTAGTTCATGTGTGTACGAAGAAGGTGAAAGTGCAATCACAATTTGTGGTAATATATGCATCTCTAAGACTCTTAACGGCTTAAAAAACCTTACAACAACGAGGGCACAATTGAGCAATTCACTTTATAATTGAGTAAGTTGGCTGTGTGTCCATAATGTATCAATCATATCTCATGATGAATCATGGCAACCAAAATGAAATAGATTGTTCAAAAGCTATCTAACATTGTGTTTTTTTTTTTTTTTTTAAGAAGAAGCGATCTAACATTGTTATATGATGATAGTGTCCATGATTGCATCTTTCTCATACTTGATGTGTGATCTACTAGCAATGTTTGTTGATAATTTACAAGTAAATTGTTACAATGGTGAATCTAGGTAACAAGAAAGTAACGGCAAAATACTTTTTTTTTTTTTATCTTTCATAATAAGATTCGTGTTTCTAAAATCAAAGTATAATTTAGAAGAAAAAGAATATGATGTGGCTTATGAGATCACAATTTTTATCTTCTTTTCTTTTTTTCTCTTCTCATTTTATTTTTAAAGGGACCTTAAATCAAAAGTGAATAGTCCTTGGACGACTTTCGCATGAGATTGACTTTGATGAGGTTCGATAGTAAATGGAAATACAACTAAATGTTTGAAGGAGAAAGGTTAAAATTGACAAATGAGGTACCTTTGTGTCTTTCAGAATAAAAATGTAAGAAATTGACTTGCGAGGTTAACTAACATCATCTTTTTGGACAACCACAATCCACAAGTAAAACTACTGCTCGATTTTTTTTTTACATCATAATTACAGTTATGGCTGGCATTGTTGTTTAGCAACAAATGAGCCAATGAGGTAAAGACTAACCTTAATTGGTTGTAGATTTGATCAAAATATACTATTATTTGTACAAATGTTATCTTCGTCAGAAAAAAATAAAAATAAAAATCATGATTTCAATTATTATTCGTACAATATATGTTTTGCACTCTCTATATGTGTGTCCTTATGAAAGTCCCTTCTTTTGCATCGTTTTATTTTATCCTCAACAAACAAAACTCTACTTTTTAGTAACAGATAATAAGATTTCTTTTCTCCAATATCAAAACACTGTTGTTTTGACAGTCTGGACTGGATTGGGTTAAAATGGAAATCCTCATCCTCCCCACTTCTTCGCTAGGACCTGTGGCAGAGATAAATAAATATTACTGCTACTAAACTAAATCACAAAAGTACATTGAACTTCTTGATCCTAGTTCCCATAAGCCAGCCCACTTTGACTGCTAATGGTCCTAAACTCCTAATACTTCTAGCTAAATGATACTACTACTATTACTAATAAAACATCCTAATCTATTTTAGATTCCGCTTAAACGTGGTGACTTTTTCTGAAAAAAAAGGTTGCCTACCCCCCTTTGTGCTATCTAGATTCAAATGCAATTGAATTTTTTTTTTGTCCATTTTATCTTTTTTGTATTCTATAAAATAGTAATATTATTTGCAGTACTAACAATTCAACGAGAAAATTTAGTTAATATTGTGTTTCATAGTGAACACTATGTTTATAAAAAATAGAATAAGAAAAATCATACTTGTTGGAAGAAAAAAAAAAAAACAAACATGACTGTAATTATGAGAATGAGGGATATATTTGAAATTGGATGCATGCTGACCACCAACAACAGCAGACCTTAATGACGGGTGGAGTTCTGGGGACCTTGCTACTAAATTGTTGAAAGCTGCTGCTGTAGTACAAAAGTACAAGGTGACAATTCGAAAAAAATGCCAAAAACCATAGACTTGTGTCACTGAAATGAGGCTCTCAAAAAATTGACATGTGAGCTTAGGATTTGTCATTTCTTACAATAGCTGGGGAGTTTCGAGATTGATGAGTTTTTTTTGTTTTTTGGCTTTTGTCTTTTTTTTTTTTTTTCTCTCTCTCTCTCTCTGTCTCCCTTTGTTGGGGTTGATGAGTAATTAACAATCCTAATACACAATGTACTTATAAAAGTCCTCGTTCTAGTTTTAACAAAATCGACTAATACCCGACTTGTTTCAATCTTTTTTCTTTGATTAGTAGTATACCCCCCCCCCCCAAAAGAAATGAAACAGAAACATGTCAAAGTTGTAGCCTTGTACGGTTGAATATCTGTATAATTGATACTGTATTATTTCTTTTTTCTAGAAGAAAAGCAAAAAAAAAAAAAATCAACATTAATTTGGCAGATTTTAAAACTCTTATCATTCTACGGGAGTCACCCTGCTGCATTTCAGCTAAGCAGACACCCAAGACCTTTTCTAGTCCACAATTCACGAGTAGCGTGATTAGAGGCGGTCCACGCTCCAAAGTCTCTATTAGACCACACTCACCCCTTGGTTTTTGAATCTTCTCCCATCCACAGCCACGACAACAACAATACCAACAACAAATTTTATTCTGTTTGTTCTTATTGATGTTTTTGAAATACTTTTATTGTCAATGTTCGTGTAATTTTGTTCTAACTCATAAGTATAAAAGGCAAAAATATCATGTATTTATTTCCAGAGATCGTTCAGAATTTTGTTACTCATGTTGTTATAAGAAGACCGACAAGAGATATGTATTACTTGGTATTACATTTGGGTAATATATGCTATTGTCATTTGGCATGTAACCAGTCAATTTGCAATGCAATTTATACTTGACATTTTGTATGTTATTCTTATCGGGCAATTACTGAATAAGAACAAAAGATTGTGAGAAAATACGAAATGCACAAGACCTAGTAATGTGCCCTATTGTTACCTAATAAGTGCACAACATGTAACATTATTCCTGTGTGCATATAACAACATATTATAAATTGTGGGTATTTCAGAATAAAATAGCGGGGTGAGGACGGGTAGAAGTTGAGCCCATTTAATATAATTTGAACACATTGCGGGCCTTGCAATAGGCCTAATACTTGTAGAATACTAAAATGCATAATTTTTTTCTTCTCTTTTATCGGAAAGAAATATTTTTTTATACGTAATTTCATCCCAACATAATAAGACAATCATTTTGTAACCAAGCCATACACTCTCTTCAGTTTGATTGGTGTTTAATCGCTTTTTTAAGCTGATAAAATAGCAAAAAAAGAGAGAGAGCAACGAGCCTAGTTTAAAGAAACCCATTTATTGGGCTCTCAAACAAGAAGCCCAACATCAATCAATTGAGCCCCCGGCATAAGAGCCCACTAAGTGCAGAAAAGGACAGGGATGAAGCTGAGAAATTGATCGGGAAAATCATTGTTCACCCGCGCAATTGAACGGAAGTTAAAATAGTTAAAAACCAGAAACGACGACGTGTTCCCATTGATAATCGATGGCAGTGGCGGACGGCTGCATGCGTGCAGTAATTGAAGCCATCCATTCTTCACCTACCCAAGCCGTTCTTTATCTCTCCGGCGGCGCCTCTCAGGTATCTTTCCCCATTTCTCGCTGAACGGAAACACAGCAATTCACACTCATGCATCGTTTTATATTCCCCAATATATTAAGAAAATTTAAGTAAAATGGAAAAATTGTGCAGGCGCTGGGGTGGTTGATGTCGGTGCCGGGAGCGTCAAATACTGTACTTGAAGCAGTTGTGCCGTATTCTCGGATGTCCATGATTCAACTGGTCGGCAAGGTTGATTTCTTTGTTTCCACTTTTCAATTTTGGTTAAACTTGAGTGATCAGCTTATCTTGGCTTGATGATACGATTATTAAAGAATGTTAATTTTTTTTTATTTTTTTTTTTGGAAATTTCGAAGGTGCCAGCTCAATTTGCCAGTTCGAGAAATGCGGAGGACATGGCACTGTTGGCTTACAATAGAGCTTTGAAGCTTTCTAAACCAGGTTCTCATCGCAAATTCACTTTCATGTCTTCCTTATTACCGTACAACCGAATGTTCGTGGCCTTGTTTTTGTGCTTGTTTGTTAGAGACTGAGAATCTACTGTTCATATTTGATTAGAACTTGAATCTTGAGATTGGTGCATTTGATGAAGATAATCTTTGGGTGTGGTAAATTATATAATCTTGGCTTCCCTACACTGTGCAGGCGTGTACATTTCATCTTGATGCTATACTTTGTTATAAATTTTCAAGGCTGAACTTCCTTGTGATGCTTTTTATTTTAACTATGGAAACATCTAATCACCATCTGATGTTACATTGAGGTGGAAGTTTATGACTAGGTAGATATCATTAATATGATTAACTAATTACATTGTCATTGCACACATATAAAGTGAGCATTGAAGATTATTCTCTTTTGAATGTCAATGTGCCCTGCATTTTTGTTGTAAAATTTCAATCATGGTTGTTTCTTTGGAGATTCATTTGAATTCGGAAGTGTTTGTTGTTGTTCATATGATTTACTCAATTTTATTTAGCTAAGTCGATTTCTTAGACAGATTGTGTATATAAAGGTGTGGGTTGATCTGTTTCTAGTTTTCAGCTGGTAGTAAGCCTTTTGATTCGCTCATGAATCTTTTTACCATTTATGTAACAGGATATCCAGTTCTTGGTGTGGGTTTTACTGGTTCTCTGGCTAGCGCACGAGCTAAAAGGGGAGATCATAGGTCTTTTAGCATATTTATGTTTATATTGATCATTTATGATTTGGTTTCATCATTCGCTTCTTAAATTGACTGTTGAACACATTGTATTTTTCCTATATTTTAGGTTTCACTTGTCAACAAGAACTTCAAACCAGCTTTGGATGTCCACAGTTACATTATCAAAGGTACTGCATGCTCTTTTTCTTGTTTCTCTTACAAGTTTTTTTTTCCCTTTTTTTTCCCCTTTCCCTAGAATCTATTTAACTAGAGCTTTTGATAATGAAGGGCTTGCGGACACGCGAGGAAGAAGATAGAGTCTCAAGCCAATACTTAATCAAGGTAACAATATATGTTATATTTCCATGCAAATGAAAGTGATAGAATATTCTCAATTATGTGCATCTTTCTAGTTGTGCATGATGAAAGTTTGTGGTTTAGCTTGTGATTTCTTCAAGTTTTTTGATAGTTTGCAGAGTTGTCGCCAACATCCTTATGTGCCATTAAATACAGTTTGCCTTTATATGTGGGTTGAAAGATCTTTATGATGTGTTGATAGGCAATTGCAAACGCTTGCAAGGTTCAGGCTACCTTTTTCTCTGAATTGACTGAATCTGAAGTTCCAGAGGAATTCGAAACGAAATTCAATGAAGATGAAGAGCTTCAGCAAGTTATAAGTGGGCAAATATGCTTTAAGGTCTATCCCTTTTCTCGTGGTATGGCTTTTCCCCAGCGAAATTGTCTTAGTAACACGGATTATCTGCTGGGTTTTGCTAGTTGGTTGGCCTTAGGTCACAAAAGTCTTGCCCAGAAGGAAAATTAGTTGTGCCTCAGGGGGGCAGTTTAGATGCGCCCCACCTGACAATTTAGGTTCTTGTTGATATTAGCGTCCAATCCCTGCTGTATTCCATGAGTAGTAGAGCTTTTCTTGAAAGATTCACGCTATAGACTCTTACTGCAAATGAGTTTGTTTTGCAGATTTCCCTGACACCGAACGGAAAATAATTCTACCTGGTTCATTTAATCCATTGCATGATGGCCACTTAAAGCTCTTGGAAGTTGCAACAAGGTATTTTTGCTCTTTTTTATTTTTTATTTTTTTTTCTAATATTACCAAAACTAGGGCTTATGAATGTGAGGTTTCCTGTTTCGGTTTTGGGTTTAAGAAGTATTTGTTTGCCAGATACTTGATGTCGGTGCCAAATTTAATCATCAATTAGTTCTAGTTCTAGGTAGTGTTTAGGGAACATGAAACGTAGTCTTATCTAATGTTCTTTTTGTTTTGTTTGCATTATTTTACATTCTTATTGCACTGTTTGGCAAAAAGTTACTTTCATATTGGCTATCTCCAATTGCTTTTGTTGCGAATGACTGATGTTTAATATTTCTATTTACCATTTTTTTTTTTTGATATTTCTCAGTTTAAACATGAGATTGGTGAGCAGATAGACTAATTATCTTATGGTGCTTTACTTTTTGCAGCATTTGTGGGGATGGATACCCATGCTTTGAGTTGTCTGCCATAAATGCTGATAAACCTCCATTGACGGTATCTCAAATCAAAGACCGAGTTAAACAATTCGAAAAAGTGGGTAAGAACTAAGCACCCTCCGCCCTCCCTCTCTTTTTCCTTACCCATGCTGAACGTTTTGGCTTCCTCTGAATACGTTTCATTGTGAATGGGAAATTTGTTTTTGCTTTCCTTGCATGTATCAAGATATAAACAATTGAAGACTTATAGTTCGTTGTCACCAAACCTTTCAACCCCTCCCTGTGGTACTAACCATGGAGTGATTATTTTAATTTTTATGCATGAGATCCCATGCATGATACCTTGTACGCTAGGTTGAGCGGTTCTTGCATACGAATGTTGTCTTTGATTTTAGGAAACAAATTATAATCTGGTTGTCACCTGAATGTGATTTAGATAACATGAGCTGTTCTCATTCAATTTCATGCTGACACCTTCTTGATGGATTGACAGAACTTTATAACGGGTGTATGCATCCAGTGGTTTCATGTTTTAACATTTGGATTGTTAGTTGTTCAAGTGAAACATGTAAAGTTTGGAGTTTTATAAGTGATGATTTGCGTCTGGAATACAGGAAAAACAGTCATTGTATCTAACCAGCCGTATTATTACAAGAAAGCAGAGCTCTTCCCTGGGAGTGCTTTTGTGATTGGTGTAGACACAGCAGTTAGACTTATAAATGTAAGGAATCTAACTCCGATCCTGTAATGTCACTGCTGTATCTTTCTCTTTTTGTTGGTTTCTGTGATAACCATTTGGCATGTAGTTATAATGTTTTTGGCTGACTTGTAAATACAGAATGAGGGTAGAGATTGGTAGCTTTGTAATATGACTAAATCTAATACTTTTGAGGGCACCCACTTTCATCAGTTTGTTGCAATGACGTCTAATTTAAAATTTTGATATTAATCTTTGGAATTTTACTTTGCAGCCAAAATACTACAGTAATGATCATTCAAAAATGCTGGCGACACTTGGTGGTTGCAAAAGCACAGGCTGTCTATTTTTAGTTGGTGGCCGGAATGTGGATGGGGTTTTCAAGGTTAAAATACATCCCACAAACTTTTCATTTTTTCTTGTTTTATCGTGCTCGAGTTATGAACCTCTGTCAATTCATTCTCTTCAGGTACTTGAGGACTTGGACATACCCGAGGAACTAGAAGACATGTTTGTTTCCATACCACCTGAGGCATTTCGCATGGATATATCATCAACTGAAATCAGGAACAAGTTGAGGTGAACATCACCTTGAAAATACAAGTTGAGGTAGATGAATAACATTTTGAAAATTGATTTCTATGGCTATGTAGTGGTGTTTGTGTGATTAAACAAATTTTGTATTGATTCAGGAAGGATAGGGTTGCATCCATGTACAAAGTGTGAAAACAATCCAAATAATATGAACAGAAATAGTCAGGAAAATGTAGATATGTGCATTGCATCAAAAGGCTGTACCTTGTCACTGAGTTCACATGAAGTAGACTAGAGAGCTAAATACAGAAAGCAATTGGAAAGGCCGCAAACTGAAACAACATAATAGACTCATTGCTTCATTTATATGTTACACTTTCTTTTGGGATTCGAATTGAGAAGTTTCTAACTTCTAACCTATATCTTGAGAACCCATCTTTGCGCTCTTGGAGCTTAACCACCACAGGCGGCGCCACAGGCTGCACCACATGCGGCGCCATAGTTGTCGTTTTGGGTATCTGAAGCCACCTTATCTCTGGTTGCTCCAGTTCCACAAGCGAGGATAATGGCTAAGATCAAAGATGAGCTGAAAATGATGGCCCAAAACCACCAAACTGTGCTTCCTAAACTTCCGAGCTTGTTTCCGTCCCAGCTTCCTCCTCTGTGCCATTCCCTTCCCATATCTCAATCACTCTTTGATGTCTTAGATATTTCCTATCTATTGATCTGTGTGTTTAAGTGCAGTACTAACACAAGTCTCAAGCGGTGTTGTTATCCCAGTATTAAAGTTGACTTTTATGAGCAGTGTTGGTTGATTTATCAAATTTTATTCTCTCTTTTACCTTCAATAGTGGATGGTGATCAGAATGAGAATGGAATAGTGGAACAGTTAAGAAAAACGTAGACATGACCAGCGGAATCTTTTGCCCCTTTTGGATAGTTTTCCACACATGGTATTTGACTTTGCACCCCAAAGAATGACTCAGACCTTCAACAATATCTGCAGAATTTAACTTTTCTTGAAAAAAAATAAATAAATGAAAATTAAGTGCTTTCAGCACTGGGATGTGATGCAGTTTAGTAGTAAGACGACTCTTCTGTTTCAATGAGTTACGGATGCTGGTCAAGTATGGGGTAAAGCGCCTAATTGGGGAACCAAAAGAAGAAAAAAATTTGGGGGTAAAAAAGTGCTTTGAGCAAAGACAAAGTTGAAGTGCTTGCCAACATTTTCTGACCTTTTGGGAAATAACATTATAATTCCACATCTTCACACTTACAAGTTGCACCATATACGATTAAAACCACTGATTCAATCTGTGGCCTCTTTTTAAGAATGGCGTAAATTGCTGGATTTCTTATATTATTCCAATCGCAATTATAACTTTGATTTCTCCGGAACACGTAAGAAGAAACAGAATTCGTACATGAATCAGAGATACAATGTAGAATTTTGAGTTTCTTGTAACGAGGGAATACAGAATCTCTTCTTCTTTTTCTTTCAATGGCCCTCTTGGAATCTTGCTAAAGTTTTTCGGAATTTTTTCTGTACATTAATTCACCAATGCAATAAGGATTATTATTGCTTGGATCGTTTAGTTTCAGAACAAGAATCTGGTTTTCTTTGATCTCACTGGTCCTCTTGGAATCTTGCTGAGGACTGTGGCATCAAATTTCCTGTACAATTTCTTCAGGTCTCGTCTTCCTTGGGTTGCAAGGTGATTTACTTCATCTTCGTAATGCTCATAAAATGCTGGTAAAGTCATCAAGCTCAGGAAACCTTGAAAAATTTCCCATCATGGAGACAACCATAAAGATGTTAATTTGTATGGATTCAATAAAAACTTTCAAACATGCCAATCATTTTGAGATGGCCAAAGTATATAATATATGTAGATCGGCATTAGTTTTGAACCTTACCAAGGTACAACAAGTTCAAAGAACTGAAATTGCTACCAGTGACAGACAGTACCCAAAGAAATGTGATTGCCTGAAGAGGGGAGAATTCCATTAAAACCGACGAAAGAAGGTTTGGTGATATTTATTGAGAGCCGAATATGATAGAAATGTATTGTTACCAGGAAAAATGTTCTAAAATCTTTTCCAGATGAAATGTCATACAATTTCAACAACCACCAATTGACTTTGCCGAACAGCCATCTGAATTTTTCCTCAGGAATTGTTATGTCCCTGAAATCTGGAGGATTACTCCTGCAAAATTTACCATGAATACTGAATCAGAACTAGTGCAAAGAAGAATCTTGAAAACTTTATCTTGCCCAAGAAAGATGAAAACCTAAGAGTAATTATTTTGGGACGGAAAGAGTACGACGAAACAAATTAGAAACAGTACCAATCAAAGAATGCTGCCAAAGTGGACCAGAGGAACATAATTATCATAACCATGATGGAGGTGTGACAGAGAAGGGTGATGAAATTGTATTCAGCCACTTCAAAAAGGAACCATATCACTGTGACTCCGATCAAGATTGCTGCTGATAAATTCTTGTTTTCCCACATTAGTATGTCCGCAACTGCAATTCCCACACCAAACTTTCTTTTCATACAATATTACAATCCATTTGAAGATCCTATCCTACTTATTCCTGTTTCTCCAAAAAATAAAAAATAAAAAATAAAAATTCTAATATCTCGCTAAAAATTTTGAATGTCGACTCAAAACCAATCGGTAATGGGTGAAAATTAATATCAGAGTTTGTTTTTTTTTGGGCAATTTCAGACAAGATTTTCGAGTGATGTTTTTCTTTTCTTGTATGCTAGTAATAGCAGAGTCCTAATCATCAACAGGTATTACCCGAAAGCTTTAAAGAAAAAGGTTCATTCGCCTGTTATTCAACAGAACAAAATCTAGCAAAGCTGATTATACAAAATCTACTTTTTACTGAAAAACGATGCAACTAATTTATATATAATTTTAATTACATCAAGATCAAGTTCTCAAATCTTTTGTTCTATTTTGGTTTAACAGGATAGCAACAATTGTTTTCATGTACTCTCTATTTTGCAATCAGGACAATCATTTTGATAGAGGAGGATTATTTTTTAAGAATTGGTATCCCCTATCTCAAAATGATTGTTTTATTTGAATTTTTATTTTTAGTACAATTTTTATTAGAAATGAAAATCGAAATTAGACAATTACAACAACAACAACATACCCACTATATTCCCAACTAGGTTAGGGTCTGGGGGGTCAAAATGTACGCAGCCTTACCCCTGTATTTCAATACAGAGAGATTGTTTAAGTAGTACGATCCAAGATGCATTGGTGCATTGATATATTGATTTCCAGCAACTTCACAAAATTAAGAATTTTCGGAATTTAAATAACTCATTTTGATTTAATCCATTATTAGCACAAAATCGGAAGAATTGTCAATAATAACTCTTACAGCTCCATTTGAAATTAGACAATTATTTAGGCTAATTTTGAGTGAAACAAGGATTCTCTTTCACTTTTTTTCTTTCTTTTTTTTTTTCTTCTGAAAATGGACTCTCTTACACTTAAATTACGCGATAAAAGGGACAAATTATATTTATTTTATTTTGGGAGAAAAAAAGAAAAACTAACAGGATGAAAAGTTTGAAGAATCACCTTTACCCCCTCCGAGGATCTGGTGCATGTTTCTTTGACGGCCAAACAATCGTTTTGGGATTGAAGGCTCTTCATCTGATTCAGAATAAGACGAATAGCTTGACATAATTGCCAAATTAACTTTAACTGATTTTGGTGATACAATGGATATTTGTATTTGAACAATATATTATTCTAGCAATGTGATCTATTTTGAGATCCTAGCTAGTTCAATTTAGAAGATATATACAACACCGTGTTTGATGAGCATGTGGTATGATTCGAATCCATTGCGCACCTATTAAGAAACTCTTGATTCGGCAGTGAAGAAGAAAGGTATGACTTTGGCATGGCCAAGAAGATAACCTAGGCCTAGAAAGTACTCCTTCCGTCCCACAAAAATAGTTTACATTGAGTTTTGAGTTTTGTACTATTTTTGGTATAAATTTGAAACTTAACGTGGACTATTTTTTTTGAGACAGAGATAATAGCAAATAAGTTAATTATATGATTCATATATATGAATGAGGGTTTAATTATAAGTTCATCATCTTTCATCCCATTTGATTATCTGATATTCTACTACCTATTTTCTTCCACCAGAGGGATTCAGTTAGAGGATTCTTGTTTTGTTTGTCACTTTACCTAGTTATATCTTGACAATTTGAAAGATATCGGTTTACTAATATTCTTCTCATTCGAAATTATTATCAAGTTTGATATTTTATTTTTAGTTCAAATTGTATTAAAGATAAAATATAAAACTGGATAATATTTTTGGGACAGGAATATCAACTAGAATTTAAATCCTTAAATCTGTGGTGAGGATCATACATGAAGAATTCCAAGGTGTTAAAGAAAGGTAGCATGAGAAGCCATCATCATTGCTCCACTCATGACTCACTACTATAGTCATTGTTACACTCATGACCTATTTGCACGCAAACTTTTAACCCTCCAAAAATAAGTTCAAGGTTTAATGTGTCCACCTATATATGTTGTGCCTAGTCTAAGTGGAATCTAGTCGGCAATTCCTAATAGGTGGTAAAACTTTGACCAATCGATTAATTGAACATAATACTTTGACCTAATTTCGATCTCGCCTATTTAGTCCTACTTGATTTGAACTCGTACGTAGGAGCAGAGGTTTCAGATACCTGATATGTACGTTCTTGTTTGGACGTCAGGATCGTTTTTATTTAATTTCGACTTGGATGTGAAGAATGTTTTTAATGAAAAACATAATGAGAAATGAAAAAGTTGTTTGGATGCTATCTTTAGCAAAAAGTTATTTTTCTATTCAAATATCAAGTACAAAAAATATCACTAAATAATCGAAAAGTGTCAATTTTAGTCACTAAAAATAAAAGAGTTTAAAAAATGATCACCAAACAATGGATAAAAAATGTGCAAAATTTTGGATTTAGTCACTGAACTAATTTTTAGTTCCAAAAATGGTCACTACACTAACAAAATGTTGCAAGTTTAATTTTAAAATGTAAATCAGAAAGTTGTTTAGACAATTGTTTATTTTGTATTGGGTTTTGTGTTTAGGAGGTAAAATGAGTTGAAAATGCAAAATGAGATGACGGGTGGACAAACATTTTCGGGAAAAAAAAAAGTTACTTTGACCACACCAACTACCGTGGGAAAAAAATTCTACAAAAAAGAGAAAGAAATTAATGAGAGAACCAAGTAGTAAACCCTATTGAAAATTTATTCCTTGGTAATGATTGAATCAATGCTTTTGCACCGTCAAATTGATGTTGGATCAAGTGATGATAGCCCTAGTGTGATCATGATCTCCTCTATGCTTATCATTGTCAAAAGAAAAGAAATGGGGGGAAAAATGACCATAATCTCACTGACACGAATTGAACTCATTTTATAATGAAGAAGACTTTGTAAATGGCAAAAAGGACCACCATTTGATTATTCCCCTTCCTTTAGTTTCTTCATCATTTTTGCAAGGAGCGCTGGCGAAATCTTCTAACTATCATGTTACGTGAGGATGAGAGTCACGCAGCTACCCTAAAAAGAACCAACATAGAAAAGGTCTAGTTCATGTGTACATTTTTTTCATTAACAATACAACGATAACTAGAAGTGAATACACAATCTGTTATTATTTTGGTCGAGATCTCTCTTATATATAAAAAAAATTCTCGACGAAAGCCGGATAGTGTATATCTTGATCGCTTATTTAGGTATTAGAAATTCTTAATGACGATGAATTGAGGCGACATAATACGCATGGGATGCGTGAATTAGGCAAGAACATGGCAGCGTGCCTGCGTCATTAGATTATGTCACATCACCGAAAGGGAAAAAAAATTAGCAGTCTTATCAAAGTATCAACAACAATTACTTTTAATACTCCCTCCGTCTCATAATTATTGTTCAGTTTGAATTTCTATTTCTAGTTCAAATTGTATTAAAAGTAAAATCTCAAACTGAATAATAATTTTGGGACACAGAGAGTAACAAATAAAGAATTAAGGAAAAAAAAAATCAGTGGTTAGTTTTAAGCAGCTTCAAATCTCTCATTCGCGGAGTGAAAGAATTTTCAGTAACTTTATTACCATCTCATCAGAGAGTGAAATAAAAAAATAAAATAAAAATAAAAATGCAAATTCGAATCTTTTGAATTGACATGAAAAATGTTGATCACGACATCAAATTGGGCCCTGCCGTTAGTAGTCGTGTGTATTCATTCATACACGGTTTCATTAATTGTCAATTAATTCAATTATTTCATCCGACTACAGCATCGGTAGTGGAGTGCCAAATCATTCTTGGATCAAAGCTAATACATGGGTTATATTTTAACAGAGACCATTTGTTTTACGAGATTTTAATACAAGTTGAAGTTATGCAAAAAAGAAGGAAAAATAATGATAATATAAAAAATGTTTTTTTAAAAAATGGGAAGGAAATGGAGGAAAAATTGCCATCCGGCGTGCGAATAAAGGGTTTGATCAATTACGAGCAATCATTAATAGAGCACTTATATAATGGTATCACCCATTTCCCCAACCCCAAATATGGAGCTTACCTTTAACTGGAATTTTCAATTTTTTTTTTTTTTAAAAAACATAGTACGTATATCCTTTTCAATTTTATCCAACCCAAGTCTCGAAGTTGAACTATAAAATTAATTTCGGTGCTATGCAGATGTATGTTTGGAGCATCACATATATAGATACACTTATAGGAAACCTATATAGCCAAATGTTGAAGAAAGTCATTTAGTCAAGTCAATAAAGTAATTAACCTTTGGGAAGACATTAATCAGCTAGATAATTAAACACAAATGGAGTATGCTTTTAGTCTTCAATAAAATCATCCTTGATTGAATCTACATCCAATAAACTTCACACAAAGGCGAAAAAGCTTATAATTCTAAAATGATGTAAGAGAGAAATTATTTAGAAAATGATAACCTAAATGAATAAAAATGTATACACCTACATACATGACATTTCAATTAGGTTCTTCAGTTTTCATTTTCCTGCATGTATATTGATCGATCATTGCAAAGCAGTGGGAAACCCTCTGTCCCAAAATTATTGTCCAGTTTGAGATTTCATTTTCAATATAATTTGAACTAAAAATGAAAACTCAAACTGGACAATAATTATAGGACGGAGGGAGTATATCAAAAAGTACTTTTCCAAAAAAGCTTAAGCGTGCATCATAAATCTTTTCACCCTAAAATCTGGCATCGTAATGGGTTAAATTTTTGGGTTATTCTTTTTACACCCCTTTAGGATGATCATCATCACATGATCAACTCTGATCAGTGATCATCACTACAATTCTCACCTCTTTTAGGCCATAACTTCCTCTCTATAAATTCAGACTCCACACACTACTAATCCCACTTCAAACTCATCATCTCACTCCATCTCCAAACGTTCTTAATTATTTCAATCCATATTAATCAAACCGTATTTATTTTCATTCAATCATCTTCATGATGACGATGATAAAGCTGAAGATCTTTGCATTGTTTGCAGTTTTTGTTTTGGTTCTTGGTGGATCAGTTGAGAAGGCAAAAGCAGTGACTTGTAGCCCTTTGCAGCTCAGCTCTTGTGCCTCAGCCATTGTTTCTTCAACCCCTCCATCGGCACTTTGTTGCTCCAAGATCAAAGAACAAAGGCCCTGCCTTTGCAGCTATCTCAAGAACCCTAATCTCAGGAAGTTCATCAGCTCTCCTAATGCTAGGAAGGTGGCTAAAACTTGTGGCACTCCTTTCCCTAGATGCTGAAAATTTTTAATCTACTTAAAGTCCCTTTTTCCTCATATGAATTTCCTATCTTCTATAAAAAATCTAGTCCAGGTGATGGTTGAGTTGAGTATGATATGTGGCACTTAATTTCTTAGCCTATGTTCATTGTGCTTTGAATATGATTCAAGTTATGTGGCTGGATTACTATCCTATCTGTGATTGTACTTTTATTTAAGCTTGTGTCTCTTGTAATGAAGATATAATAATATTATTATTCAATTAATCTGCTTCCATTCTTTTTTTTTATTTGTCTTCAACTAATTAGGACAACTACTACTAATTAACTTATAAGTGTAACTTGAGTAAATAGTTCAGAACGAACCTTTAGCCCAAGTGATCAGATTTTCAGGATCACCATGGGAAGAAGGAAAAAGAAGGCCTTCCTTAAACTGCAACTCTGCATGAACTTGTCGGCCATTGCAATTGGCAACATTCCTACTAATTCATCACTTACGCATTCAACTAAAAATTAAACCAGAATTCGTGAACACTGGCTCCGCATGACGGCCAAAAGAAAAACAATCCTAACATTACTAACACAATCCGCAATATCCATGTACCAAAATCAAAAGATTAGAGAATCTCAAAACAAACATCAGGACAATGAGAATCCACATTGTCCCCATCAGTAGTAAGTAGTAGATCAACTCCAAAATAACCACATTAATCATCTTTATTGACGACATTAAAATCCTTTCCAGTTCCTTGAACCTCAGCTTCAATTTCATCTTCATCTTTATCTGCATCTTCTTTCCTTGTTATCCATTCATCACTGAAGATAGCTCCTCAGAAGAATCTTCCTCAGTGTTTATCTTTATCTTTCTCTTGCGCGCTCTTTTAATCTCAGGTCATACATTACAAAAACCAAACGAGGAATTCTTTTCTGTTCCTGGCGGTTGTCCTTGTTTGAATGCACCTAATTTCAAAGGAAAAAAAAAAATCAAATAACATAATTTCACTTCTCATCGATTGTAGTGTAAACTTGAACAGCTTAAGTCTAAAGAAAACAAACAATACCATTTCAACTGCATTCCAATCAAGTTCACGTTCTGAAGCACTACAAGTCAAGCTTAGATTTCTAATGGCAAATCTTTTCAATTCTGGACATTCATCCCCAAAGAAATCCCACCAATCAGCTACATCAAAAGTTTAGAGGAGACAAATGTTAGATCATTTCTTTTTGTTATAATTGAATGTTGATACTCAAAAAGTAGAGCTAAAAGAAACAACCTGGAGACATTGTGTTCCTACATTCGATAGCCGCCTCTATGCCAAATAACCCTCTAGCAAATCTAAATGTCACCGACTGCGACGTGATTTTTTCCCGCTCAACAACATCAGGAACTATTTTATGGATACACTCAAAAAGCGCATTTTGGACAGTTGTATTGCTCTCATAATCCAGCCTATCTTGAACTTGAGGATTCAACCAATAACTCGCTGCAGTCAAAGGGTTACCAAGAATCCCTTCCCATCTCTTGTCAATAGCTTCAAAATACGGCTCACATCTATAACATTGTAAAGAACAAATCATTGTTTAACTCAACACGAAAGATTAGTCACAGAATATATTCAACAAGCCTTTACCTCTTGTTGCTGTTTACCAAACCAGTCTTAATATATCTTCCTTTGCGCATTTGATTGCTTCATACACAAATCCCATTGCAGGCTTATCATGAGAATTGACCATCCTCAAAACTTTTATAAGTGGCCATGCAATCTTCAAGCACAATTCAACATTAGGCCAAAAATTTTTAGTGTCAAAAACAATATCCCAAACCTCTTGCCCATCTCTTTTCTGGGAATAAGCACTCTCTCTCCACTTCTCAGATGCAAAAAAGCCAATCAATTCATATTTCAACTCATTGAGGCGACTTAAAGTCAAATATGATGTGGCATAATGGGTTGTGCCTCGTCTAACTAACTCCTTGCCCTTTGTCAATTCTTTTATCCATTTCAGAATTGTGCGTGAAGAGTAAATATAAGAAACCACTAACTTACCCTTCTTGATGATGTCTTTTTGCAGTGGATCACACTTATCAAAATCATCCAACGTTAAGTCGATGCAATGAGCAGCACAAGGTGTCCAAAATAATCTTTTTCTTTTCTCCATTAGTAGCCTCCCAGCTTTCTTGTAATTAGCACCATTCTCTGTGATAACTTCCACAACATTTTCTTCCCCTACTTTTTCCACAACATCATCCAACATTTTAAAAATTGTTTCAGCACTTTGGGAAATGTCATCTTTTTCCAAAGAATGTGAAAATACAGTTCAAAACGTGTACATCGTTCTTTCTCTGTGATCAGTCCACACATCTAAGATGATACTGCAACCGGTTCTTCTCCATTCTTCCTTGTGTTCTTCAATGACATTTAAAGTCTCAGCCACTTCTCTCTTCAGTACAATCTCACTCATCTCATGATATGAAGGTGGTTCAAATCCCTTTCCGATTTCCCCTATTTGTTCTATCATCTGATGAAAGAAAGGGCTGTTCACCGCACTAAAAGGAATACCACTACTGTACAGCCATCGCGCCAAAGCTTGACCAACCTCGTCCCTTTTATGTTCTCTCCATTTTTCAGTAAGGGCTCCTCGTATTCCCCTAGATCCACAGCTGTTATTAACAATAGTTCTATCTATTGAGTCCTCACCATACTCTTGCACTGTGTCTTCATCTGATGAATCCAGTGAAGTGTCAAACTTTCTTTTAACTCCACTTGAAGATTCTTCTATGTTAGCTCTTCTTGATTCAAGCAGTTCTTTCCTGACATCATCACGGGGTACAATGTTCCACATCTTTATGGGTGCAAACTAGAATTTCTTTCAATGTATAATTCCTGCTGGACTGAATGTCATTGCAATATAAATGTTGGGAGAAGACAGTTGCGCAACTGAAGTAAACAAAGGCAAATGCAAACGCACTCAGACATTATCTACTGCCAGATTTGACGAGTTCGAAACAAAATTTTTCCAGAATCAAATTCTAAAAACAGGTGCAAAGAAGAAGCTCAATTTTTGCAAGTGCATCTAGAAGAATGAGTTCCTTATATTCATTCACTATAATGACATTCCATCTTCAACCTATATTCTGATCATCTACTATACTCGCACTTTGAAACCAGGAAAACTAGAAAATGATGAAATATCCAAACAACACATACAAATCAATGAAGGACATCAAAGTTAGATGGGAAATGACTCACAATGTCGAAGCCTGATCTCATAAATGAGATTGCAAGACCTCCTAGAAGACATAATCACATATTGTAAAGAAAGAAAAGTTTTGCGAAAGTGAAAACCAGTTACAGAAGTAAATTTAATGGAATGAATATCCACAAAAAGAGCCAATAAGAGTATAGTAAATCACTGAAATTGACCAAATGCAACTCTTTAGCCTGCTGATGATTCCCTTTTAATTACTATTAGGGTAACTATCCAACTTTTTTTTCATGTTTTGATCAATTTCAATCACAAGTTCAACAGAGCATCAAACATGCTTGATTTCTCCTTGATCATAAGTTCAGAGTAATTTCTCACAGAGCGCAAAACATACCGACAATTCAAACAAGAAAAGAAAAAAAAAACAGTTAAACACGTCAAAAGTCACAATTTCTCATTCACCAACTATAACAAAACAATGATAAAAAAAAAAAAAAGTTGATTCAAAGACTCAAAATAGTAAGCACATGTATAAGGATTCAAACAAACCTGAACCGTTTTGGCCTTCAAAAGTTGAAACAGAGCAGCCACTAATAGTCCACTGTTCTCAAGAGCTTTTTCGGAGCAGAATCCACAGCGCCTTCAAAATGAAAGCAAAAAGAAGCCCATAAAATTTGAAACCCTGGCTTTCTTCAAGCGACTGCTGGTGATTCAAAATAAAAAATAAAAATGCACACATGAGGGAGAAAAAAGGTCACCGGAAAATTTATATTTGAGGGCAGCACCACACACATCGGGTGTAGCAGAATGAAATGCCGTTCGGTTCTGCTTTCTCAGATTATGATGATTTCGACTTTCAGGTAATGGTGAAACAAAATAGCCCCCCCTTCGATCAGCGGCGCCGTGAGGTCGTCTGCCGTTTGGTTGATTGTTGAATGGTAAATGGAATTCATTTGGAGGCAACTAGGGCAGAATTTATGAGCATACAGCGAATTTTCATCTAAGCTGAAAGAAAAATGAAAAAAGAACAAGCGCTTGAAAGTGGCCCAATTCAGCCTAAAAGAAGAATATAAAATTAATTTACTGGGGATCGGGAATGAAATCGTAGCATTTAGAATCGTATTGGAATCGTAAGATCGTAGGATCGGGAATGATGATGCGATTCCATGGCGATTATACTGAAAGATACTAAGTGAAAAACTAGTTTTTGATGGAGCTGAATATAAAGATAGGACGATGAGTGATTTGATGAATCCCGCGGCATTGATTTCCTGCAATGTTCATAGTTTTCTTCAAACTGAGACCAGAAACTTTTGGTGTCTGTTGTAAGTTAGAACAGATATCCATAACCCAGACCAACATTCGATTTTATATTGGGGATCGACTTCCTTAATATAATCATCGTCATAGAACACTGCCGAAGAATCAAAATCACTTCTTCCTATGCCCCTGATTTTGGGAAACGAAGCCTCCTCCTTCTTCCGCGAGTTCCCGCGCTATTTTGAACTCTTCATCAGGACCTCGGGAAATGGAAAACCATGATTGTGAAGAAGACAGAAAGTACGCACATCAGGCTCTACAGTAATGGGAATTCTCACCATGAACATATTACTCTGAAGTAGTATTTCACTGAAGCAAAATGCATCCTCTGTTTTATTGCCGGACAGATCCGGTGGCAGCATCTTAAGGGCGACAGTCGACGGACTCAGGCGTCACTCGAAGCAGAAATAAACAACAACCCAGTTATCAATCCCTTCCTTTCTCTATTCGTTTCTTATGTTTTAGGTACAAAATTGGAGGGCATCAAATATTGCATCTTTGGGTCAAATAAGTTATTCCCCGTTGCCTTTTAGTTGTTGTTATGTAAAAATAATACGGAAAATATTTATTTTAGAGAGATTCGGCAGTTAAGTGATTGAATAGTTAGGTTAATTCGATAGCATTACACAGTTTGGATTTAGTTTATCTGCAGTCATGGACACAAAACTTCAATGTAAAGATGGCAAGACAAGGGTACTACTTACATTCTACTATATAAAATCTACCAGTTTTTCCAATCCCAAAACTTCACTTAGTCACTTGTATACAAATGATTAGACATTCTCAAACTGATTGTCCTTCATTTGATGTTGGTTCTCCCTAAAATGGGATGCAGTCATTCCGACTCCTTCACTGTCCTGCTTCTCCCATCCACCTGTGTCCGCCTTGGAATGAGCCCAGTAGTAGAAAATGGAACCTATCATTGACAGCAAGGTTAGTGCAGCCCCAGCAGCAAACACACCTTTGCGCAGCGTAGCACATGACATATGATCGACACCAAATATGCCTCGGTACTTGGTATGATAAGCATTCCTTGCCGACCCTGCAAGTAATGTTACTTCTGCTCCCAAAAAGGTCACCCTGTCATCCTTTCAAATTTTAGCACAGAACTGAAGCACCCACATTTTCGCAAGTAAAGCATACCCCACGAATGATTACATCCAGCGTAACATGATAACGATAGAAACAGCACATTGAGAGCAAGCTAAGCGCCTAAGCCATAACAAGGGCCGAAGCAGAATGCTTAAGGGAGTGCATAGAAACAGAACAAGTTATCCCTCCCTTGGAAAATTTTTGAGAATCAAAATTCTAATTTAGAAAAAGGAAGGAAAAGAAAGACAAGACAACAGCAAGTGTCAAAGATTGCAAACATATTTAAACACATTGATGGCAACCAAGAACACGATGTACTCTTTTCTCTGATAGTTAGAAGTAAAGTACTTGTAATTTTCATGATTTAGGAAGGGTAAGAACTTGGCGGCAGTATGTGACTAGGGATTCCTCCCAGAAAGTATAGCAAAAATATTTTTATTTAATTGGAGAGCCTAAATGTAATGATTGTTGTACTTGTATTCAGATTGCTCAACATTGATGTCCTTCAGTTGAGATGTTTGTTAAAGAAGTACCAAAAGCTAAAGTAACTGTATGAACAAGTTGGAAGGTTAGAGGTCAATGGATTTTGAGTTTTGACCTCTCAACTCAAATTTGAAATAAGCATAGACAGAAATGGGAAACAGGCCTTTGCACAAAGAAGCATTTTGAACTAGCAAATGGAACAACATTGCTGCAGATAGATTACCTCATGATTAAACCAAAACATTTCAAAGATCAACCATGCTCTGGAGGCATTCATACACACTATGATAAAGCTAAGCTACTCATGACTTTAAACAATAGCCGTGGGGGATGAATAATCAGTTTCAGTGGCGCAGAGCAAGGCCATTTCTTAGTTGAACAGTTGCATTTGCAAAACGAGGACCCTAACACGAACATCACCGTTCCACCCATAATAGTCTATCACATTCTATCAGTAGAACTATTGAACCTAGGATTTTCTTCACAAAGACTCTCAATCCTTAAGCCAAAAAAAATCCTTTCCAACTAAATCTCGATCCAATGTATATTCTAAAGACAGCAGCAATTCAAGCATAGCAAGATGTACAATCCACTGAGACATCATAATATTAATTATTCCACTCCATTGATTGCAAGGAACAAAGAATTAGACTAAAAAGGGACTAACATAAGCTTCTGAAGCTAATTAGAGGCGGTGAAACTCCCCCACTAACCCAGCTCGACCAAAAGTCAAATTGTTCAGAGTAAAGATGGAAAATTTGAAGTAGAAAAAGAAGAATTAAAACTTACCAAGAAAAGATGAAAAAGAAAACAGCACAAGTAGTAGTCCTGCCACCCATCATCCCTTTCCCAAAACACAAACACTTGGTAACCCCGTTGACCACAGTTTGGCTAATCAGGAGCAACCCAAAAGCACATAATCCATACACCGTCGAAGCATCGCTTGCGTAAGCACAATATGTCTTTTCATCGTACTCATCCGGCTTAACCACAGCCTTCACAAAAACAATCAATCAATCAATCGATGGAACCCAACAATCAATTCCCAGAAATAGAAAAAAGGAAGCAATAAGATGAAAAACCCTACACTATAATCATATGAACAAAAGAGTTTACCGTGCTGCGACGCCGTTCTGCACCGACGGCGAAAACGAATGCAATAAGGTGAAGGGAAGTGATAAGCACCAAAATGGGTATTGAAGCTCCCATTTTTTTTCTTTTTATTTTTATTTTTTTCACCTTTCGATGGCTACTCTGTTTATTGTTCCTTAAGCTTTCACACACAACTCAGGGGAAAAAAGAAAGCTGCTTCTTTTACTTTCTAAAACTTTGAAGGAAAAAAAGAAAAATTAAATCTAGCACTGTTTTTGATGGGGTGGAATGAATTATGGCTTTCTCTTCCTGTACTAAAGTTGGCGGCTTTTTCTTTGTGTGGAAGATTGCTCTGTTTTTGCTTTGAAGGGTAAACTTTTACAAATGGGGCATTCCTTTTTGGATGGTTTTGTTGGGAGAAATCACAGATTACAGACTGTCATTTTGAGGGAAATGCAGGCAAGAAACTGTCGATGATGATGATTTTAGGAGAGTGTAAAAGGGCTAAAAAGCTGTCGGTGAATGGTCTTTGGTGGGGTCAAATATGTATTTGATTCCTTTTCACTTGTTCAAGTGAGAGTGTTGACTGTTTGAGCTATCAGATATGTGAGTGGGAAAACTTGATTAAGACCTCAATTATTTGTTTGATTAAGACTTCAATTATTTGTTTTGTTGTTACCTAGAGTTCCTGCATTGATGATTGCTAGATTAGCCCTAATGATACTTATCATGGATATCTACCCGAGATACTAAAACTTTTTTTTCGATGCTATTTGAAGTTTCTTGCTACTTTCAAATATATTTAACGTGTTATTTATATTTATATATATATAGCACGAGATAAGTTCTAACAAACAATCATACTTAGATTAATTTACAATGATTAAGGGTTATTTTTAGAGGGAAATGGTTTTTACGAACAACATGCTTAGCTTCACATACTGAACTGTTTTGAGGCAACATTTTTGCACAGGTTTAAAATGTGACACCAAGAACCAAAAACAATCAAAAACTTTAAGGGACTTAATTACTTATCTGATATACTGAGGAAATTATCACTTTGTCGTTAATCTAGGGCAATCACTTTTGTGTCTAGTTATATGGAGGTGCTAAATGTACCCGAATCAAATTATTCTTGTGATATATTTTGACCTAATTCAAAACATTTCGATTTCGACAACAAAGAACTCGGAATTAAAACTGTTATGGATTGAGTAAACTCTTACAAGAATCATGAATGTATCCAATTTGACACCAGATTGATTCTTTCACTATATACTTCATTAATTTGTTCTAGAAATAATTGTTTTATTTTATTATAATAAATATGACAAATTATTTTTTAATATAAAAAGTATAGAAGATGATTTTCAATTGTTGACATTGCTAGTCATAATCTCTAAGATAGCAAGAAGGTTTTTTTTTTTTGAAACATAAAAGATAAGTTCGTTAATTTTGTAGAAATCGTTTAGCAACGATGGACAAAAGCAAGATACAATTATAAAAACACAACTTACAAACAACTACAATATCATTCTTTTGTTTCACATGGATAAAGCTATATTGATCTATCCTATAAAATAGTGGTTGTACCACGTGCCAAACTTTTAATCCAGTAAAAAATATAACATTAACCATCGGTTGAAACTCCCAAATGGTAGACTTAATAATTAAATCTACTATGACTGAATGTACTTGGACCATACCTGGCAAGTGTACAAACACCTTTAATAAATCCGTCGTCGCTGCATCTGTATACATTACCGGTGAAATTACCGTCATACTCACGAACATTACTAAGTAAACCGCTATCATACTAGAAACGTTGACAAGGATACTGTCGCCATAGCAGATTATAATTAAGCCGTTTATTAAAATTAAATTAAAATAGAATAAAAAGGTTAAATGATGTGAATAAAATTATTTTCCACATCCTTAAAAGATAGGGAAAACATTAATTTTCTTTTACGGTTTGAGGGGGAGAGAGACGCCAAAAGAAAGCCATAGAGGGGGAAAAAGATGAATGGCAAGAAGGTTTGATTGATGTATGGAAAAGATTGTCATAGGCCAAAAATAAACCATTTGTATCAAGAAATCTTGAATCTGATTTCCAATCTTCAATATATAAAAATTGCATTGAATCATGCAAACCATATAATATCATTGAAAGAATTAAGGCTATTCCAAACCAGCCGAAATTCAATGGTAGATGCATCTCTACATTTGACAGAATATCAATTTACCTACAACCAAATTATAATTGAAATCTAGGAAAATTTGATGAAATAATACATTTCATTTCATCATCCCGTATATCTATCATATCCTTCTTTATTTGATTGATTTTCCCTCCCTCCTTTTTGCTAGAATTTAAATCCCATCATCATCTCCCATTGTTAGAAGAAGCGGACTTTTTATAAAGATTTATGTTGAAATTCCTCGGCTCAAATAAGTTTTGACGCTCCCATCTGGTTCGATCACTCCTATATAAATATGGAAATTTATTAATGCTCCAAAAACATTTGGTGCACATCAATCTAACGTTGTATGACCAGAAGAATCCATTCATCTTGTCATTGATGTACAAATAACACCATCGCATTGGAAATGCTATTTGCGTGAAATTATAGCTGAATTTTTCCCCTCTACGAAGAAGATATAAGTGCGTGTCATTTTTTGTTAGGTTACATGTGTAGAGAACGTCTTGATCACCTTCATTGTACAATGTGATTTCAATCGTTGGGAAGAAATAATTCTTAATTGAAGAAAAAAAAGAATTGCTTGTGTTTTCTGGAGGGGTTCTTGCATAGGAGGTTTTGGAAGAGATTAGAAGAAGAAATATGATGACAACATTGGCAAATAAAGATGATGTATTATTCATCATGTTCTTTCCAATTGAAGTTTTTTGGGAAAGAATCCAATGAAGGAGGCAAAGAGTTGCCTTGGAAATGAAAATCGACCATCTCGTGGCATTATTTGTATTGAATTCTTTTCTTCTCTGTTTTGTTTTGTTTTGTTTTATGACAGCTCTTTTTTTTTCTTTCATAAAATTGTGATTTTGCGTAAAAATAGCAACATTTTTACACATTAAAGTATGTTTTCATTCATGAACGAAAACAAAATTTACAAAATTATCATTTGTTTGATAATCATCACTTTTGCCAGATAGGAGGAAGGGCTGAATTCTGACGAGGAAAAAAAAAGGGAGAATTATCATTAAGGACATGAGAAAAATTACAATTAATAAAAAGGACATGCCTTTTATTACAAAAATTAAAAAAAAATACTTTTATGGCTATTTTAATTGCTAAGAAGACTGCTGTATCCTTCTTACTAAACAAATGATTCCATCACGTAGTCAAAGTTCTCAAATGTTCATTTCGCTTCGCATCACCGAGTCGTCTTCCGGCCTTTTCCGCGGTTGCCACTGTTCCCCGCCATGGTCCCATAACCCATTTGGGAATTGATTTTGTTTGATTAGAATTATTTAGTCATAAACATACTCAATCTCTATTTTACTTTTGTCATCAAAGTCCATTTTTTTGGAGGTGAGGTGGTGTCAAAGCGGAAATGGATTTAATTTTGTTTCTTTGTTTATTTTTATTTTTTTTAGCATTCGATTTAATTGGTGTTCGGTATGAGAATATAGAGGGTGCTGAAGAGGAGGATTTTGATGAGTATGAGAGAGTTGTTTATGTTTTCTAGAAAAAAAAAAAAAGAAGAGTAAAAGGCTGGATAATTTGTGCTGCTATAAAGAAGTTATTAAAAAAAAAAAAACCCCCATGGAAAAAAAGCTGCGGGCTAGAAGAACCCTCTAAAATTCAATTATGTGGAGGAAATATTTTATGAAGTTGGAAGGATAAATTAGTCTTTTTGTATTTAAAGAAACATTAAAATTACTTTTTCATGATAATAGAAAAATTTATGCCCTTAATAATAATTTTTGTTTTTCCAATGCCCTTAATGATAATTCTCCCCCAAAAAAAAAACCTACTATAAAGTGGTAGTTCACCCTTAAATAGCGTGACACACTAATGATAATCCCTTTTGCCCTATTAAAGCAGAATACAAGATGTTGATATGGCAATTTCTTATTAAAAAATTTTGGCTCCAAATGCACCATATTGCTTTAACCATTCTGTCACGCGTCATCCCTTTTTAAAAGAAAAAAAAACTTCTTATCCAAAAAAACAAAAGCTAATTTACAAAAATAGCTACACAATTTTAACTCCTAACACTTATCATTTATTAATCAAATTAAGATACGGTTTAAATTTGTCCATAAAATTATCCCCTTTATTACTCCACATTCTTTTGTATGATTTCTGCATCGGTGTACTTTTCAATATTTTTTCTCCTTTTGTAGATGATTTTTTATTTTTATATTATTTTTGGCTAAAAAAGGGAAAACAATAAATGTGTAGCTATTTTATTTTTTCTAAATCAAAAATTCATTTATCTATTAACACAAAATTAAAGTAGAGGGGGCGCCCAAGCATTTAGTAAATCTTTATAGAAATGAATAATAAATGGGGCAAACTACATGTTACTCTCTAAGTTTTGGACATATCTACCATGAACCTCGTAGTTTTGATAATACTACTAAATGCCAATAAATAAGAGGTTAAATATTGAAACGATTACAACAAGTTACTTTCTCTTTTTGATTTTTATTCAATTTTTTTTTGACAATTAAGAATGACACAATTAGTTAATTAAGGAGAATTAACTTGTTATTTTACATTTTCTTACATTCAATTATGATGTAATTAGTTAATTAATAAAAAATAATCCGTACTTAAAAATATAATTTAGTTAACAAAAATTTTTTTTACCCAAAAGAAATAATATAGTTGATTTTGAAATGTTTTAGTGAATCAATTGCAATAAAATAAGAATATAAATCTTGTACTTCTTAAACCTATATTATGATATAACATCAAAAAGTATTTAAAAGTATAATTTATAAAGATGTGATTTGAAGGATATTTTTTATGGCTTACATAATTTTATTGATGATGTTAGTATGTTAAGGAATATACAGTAGATTGACAATGAGTCATAGGTACATGCTATTCATCGTTACCAAAACGTCACAAAATTTCAAACAATTAATATTGACTGGATCTTGATTAATACTCCCTCCATTTCAAAATAAGTGTCGTTTTAGCAAAATGGAGAAATTTCAAAATAAGTGTCGTTTCGGATTTCAATGCATTTTTTGTCAAAAATTTCCAAACATACCCTCAAAAGAAATAATATTATTGGTGAACATTTATTTTAATGGGGTTAGTTGATGATATTCTAGTAATTTAGCTACCCTATTTAAATATTTCTTAAACTGTGTGCAAACTCTAAAATGACACTTATTTTGTCCCATAATTATTGTCCAGTTTGAGATTTCACTTCTAGTACAATTTGAACTAGAAATGAAAATCCAAACTGGCCCATAATTATGGAACGGAAGGAGTATTAAATAATCAAAATAAAATCCATGACTAATAACAAGCTGCATGAATTTATATTATTTTTGGTTGCAATATTCTTGGATGAGAAGTCTATGACAAGTATATAATTAAGTAAAACGTCACATAATTGGAGAATTATATCTAGTCATGATAGTTGTTGAGCTTACGTCCAAAGAGAAATATTACCTTTTATAGAGCGGCAGCTCTCTTCGCCTTGGGTAGATTTAAGCCATGTTCTCTCAGATTTCAAGACCACATTTTTGCCTTGGCTCTTCAATGCATTTTCCAGTTGTGTTTCTGTCCTTTTTCTTGATTCTCCAGCACTAGTTTGGACACGTAATGGAACTCTTCCTTGGCCTCAAAGATTTTGCTTCTTTTGTAGATTTTTTCGGCCTCTAAATGGTCCTGTTTGCAGCTCACTAACGTCGGATTTTGCAGCTCCTGTTGTGGTCATCAGCTTGTTGCAGGATTTGCTTTTATGTCCTATCGCCAACTTTGCCCTTTTTGCTCAATTTTTCCCACGTTTTCCACTTTTTAGCGCATTAAGTCTCCGATCACAGAGAAAATTTACTTAGAAATAAACTATTCTTAATTAGTACTACTAATTTAGGCTAGGGAAAAGATTAAAAGCCTTGTTATTTATCATGCAAAGTTGACACTTATCACTGGAGGTGTGATTTAGTGTTAGGGGACAAAATTTACTCAACCGCTTACCAATCGAAATCGATTAGAGAGGAGGCTGAGGAAGCCGCAAGAGTGAGGGAACATTTGACGAAAGTGGTGGAACGGAGATTGCAAGAACTAAAGTTTTGATCCACGCGCGGGGTGCCACCAACCAATGGTTGATCCGAGACTGTTCAGGGACAGTGGAATTCGAGATTTATTGCCAAATTGGGCAGCACAACTATAACATGAGTTGAACTTTGGGGACTCTTCTTTGGGTTATCCTTAGCTAGCAGGGAAGTGGGAGAATACAGAGATAGTGACGCCATGGTTCAATTGATCTCTGATTCGAACAAGAATGGCGAAATGCATGAAGGAAGGGAATCATAGTGCTTATGAACTGCGGTTGTGATGTCTGGTTGAATCACTCGTCGAGGGAAAGGGAATTTTACCGTTAACGCCCTTGTGGCTATGGTCGAGTCAGGGCGGGAAATGATAAACTGGGATGTGCGGTCTCAGCTAGTGGCGTGGACATGATGTAATATGGATTTCTTACCCACGATATATCATATGTAACAACTATGTTTTTATGCCTCTATGTACCAAAAAACATAAAACTTACCCAAAAAGTTTTTTAAAACAAAGGAAAAGTTGTTTGAAAAGTAGAACTATTTTATTGTAGTAACTATGTTTTTAAAACCGGACCGGAGCACGAACCGACCTTCGTATTGGGTTACTAGTTTACTTGTTCAATCATTCTAAAAATTCGTATGTCGTCATCATGATGTTATTAATACTTTAAATGTTAAATATAAATTAAAAAGACATTTGAATTTTATAGTTGGGATAAACTCATAAAAATTTAAATTTAAGGCTACGATAACACATTTAATTTTGTGGGTCAATTTATAAATACCTAAACAAGAAGGTTCCAATATAAAAAGTGAATCCCCACATCCAAAGGTGCCTCTCCCCCGTTTCTCATTCCGTCAAAGTGATGTGGCGCTGCAAATCGTTCCGATTAAAGAACTACGGTGGGAATTTTTTTCTTGGTTATGAAAGAAAGGTTCGACTGGTTAAAACTTTAACTGAATGCTCTTTTTTCCTTTAAACCTGTCTTGACCCGAGGGTCGTGATAATCCAATCAACCCAACCGGTTCCTCACACACCTATTCTAACCCGTAACCCATTTTAACCCGAGAACCGTTTAACGGGTCAAAACACCATGCGGGTGGCGGGTCAGATTTGTTAGGCCTACAACTACCATTATTTATTTGGGAACACAAACACAAAATCCAACATCTCCACCTTAATACTCATTTTCAGCAACTTGTTCTATCCCAATCCAAAATTAAAATCCATATGCAGATTAACCATAATTCAAATTCCACCATTCCGAATCTCCATCTTTTTGTGTTCTTCTTTTTTCTATTTTTTCCTCTTTACTAGTATTATTATTTTTTTTTGGTAATAGGTAAATTTATATTAACTTGAGCATATTTACAAGTACATCTTTCCCTACTAACTGCAAAATTTTTCTCTATTCCTGATCATCTATACAAATCTGATTCCAAGTAATTCTAAGTATCTGAGTTCTGCAACTTTGGCTTTCTGCAACAGTGTTGGGTTATCCATGTCACCTCTTGTTTAATACTTTGCAACCTATTCTCAATGATTCTATCCTCTTGAGCAAATCTCCTCCTATTTCTTTCATTCCAAACATGATAAATGCATGCAGCCACAACACCAACTCTACTAGTATTATTTTTAATAATATTTCTTTTGCTTCTATATTTTCTTCTTCTTTGATTAATTCATTCTCTATTTTTCTCCTCAAAAGATCATCAGCAAAAAAATAAAAAATAAAAGAAGGGGTAAAAAAAGAAAGAAACCCATAACTTCCCCCCCCCCCCCCCCCCACCCAAAACACTTCAAATCGTGATCAGTTTGGTTAACGGTTCAACAGCGAGTTTAACTGGTTTTGACCAATTTTTTTTATTTCAGCGGGTTTTCATAATACTCGGATCGGTGAGAGTCCTAGTTTCCCGTCCGATCGGCCGGTCGGTCCGATTTTAACAACTATGAACCAACTTGCAGTGTTTAGGCCCCATTTGATAAAACTTAATTTGGGTATGAAGTCTGAATTGAAAAAAACTAAAATCTGAACACTGAATAAAATGTCTGAAATCTGAAGTCTGAACACTGAAATTTAAAGTATCTCGACTTCTTTATCTAAAAAAATTGATGTATATGAAACTATGATAATAAAAATAATAATATTATTATAAAATAATGTAATAAAAATAATGAAATTTTATTATGTTATTATTTTTTTAGTTAATAATAATTTCATATTTTATCATTGTCAAAAAAAAATCATATTTTATGGTAAATATATATTGATCATGGAATTTAATGGATTTTAATTTTATATAAAAATAAATATTTATAAAATAAAAAATAATTTACATAAATTTTAATTTAGAACTAGACATCATGATTAATAAAAATATTTCAAGATAAAATATCAAAAGTATAAACATAAAAATAAATAAATAGAAAAAAAAATCGTCTCAAGAATTCAGTTCAGACATTAGTGATAGGTCTATCACTTATTTTTAGGCTCACATTTGTACTAGCATTTCAGACCCACTTAATTTATTAAAACATCCTACTTTGAGTTATCAAATGCACTTAAAATTTAAGTGTTTAGTAAATTAAGTTGTTATGATATTGTGTTATCGAACAGTGTTAATCAATTAAGTACTTAATTAATAAGTTTAAGTACTTAATTTGTTTATCAAATAGGGCCTTATTAGTCACACAACTTTTCACTTAAAACCAAATCACCTCTCAAATTCCATGACCTTTCTGTTTTCCTTCTTCGCTTCGTTTCCCCCTCTTTCCTAAGTTACAGCCATTTTTCTTCCTTCCTTACAACCACAATCAATGGTTCCAAATTCATACCCCAATTCAGGACAACAAATTGTAGCAAGTTTTCAGTTGTGGGACATCTGCACAAACCACAAACAAACCCCCTCGCTAGCCGGCCACTTTTTTAAAAAAAAAAACAAAAACCGAGGGATTTTTTTTTACTGTAAATTAAACTGCGTGGTCGCAACTGTGTTCAATATATCCCAGCCAAGATTATCAAGGAAGGGGCTGTGAATGATGGAATTAGGCTTCGGAAAAACCATTGCCGATATCGTGACTCTGTCCGCCGGATTGGTGATTTCACTAGGTGTACCTCTCGAGGGAGAAAAATAGCACGTGCGAGGAGGACGTATAATTCAGTTTTAGAGGGAAAAAGAAAATAAAAAGGGTAGAGTCGATTTTGTTGCAGCGAAAGTTTGCTTTCTTAACATTATCAAATTAATTATTAGGCTGATCTGATCTGTTTTATTTTATTTGTTTTTGTTTTTTTGGGTTTCCTGCTCGCGTATTTGCTATTAATTAACAAACATAGATTAATATTTAGTTTCCAATTAGAATTACAACAATTGCAGGTCAGTTTGATCGATTCCCCCCCTTACAAAATAGGGTTCTTATGCCCGAATCAATTTTGATTACATGATATTCTATGTATTTATATTATATAAAAAAATATAGTACGTGTGCACTATGAAACTATTATTATTATTACCAAATAAATTACAACCACCTAAATCCAAGTTGTTAATGGAGTTTTATGTGGGCGCCTGTCTATAAATAAATCTCCAACCCCCCTCTATCTGTATTCCACATCAAAAGAATCTAAAACCAGGCCTAGCAGCAACATTCTTTCTAGTTACCTAACTTTTCCTGCCTCGTTGATTTATTTGTTTTTATTATCTACTTTTGCTATGGATAATAATATGCCTAAGCTTCAACCGCAGTACGCATTGATGGATTGGTCGTCCCTTATTCCTGATCTGTTGGTGGAGATAGCCACACGCTTACCAGATGTAGAGGATTTCATGGCATTCAGAGGGGTGTGCGCTTGGTGGCGAACCGCTGTCACCAAAGATAAGTTCGGTCCTTCTTGGCCGAGAGTTCCATTGCTTATGTTGGTGGAAAAAGAAGAGGAGGGAAGTATGGAACGGGAGTTTTATAGCCTATCAAAAAGCAAAGTTTGCATGAGATCATCCCTTCCACTAGCCAAGGGTAAACGATGCTTTGAAGTGAGGTTTGGATGGTTGATGTCCCTCGCAGATTACGATGAGGTTACTTTATGGAACCCTCTCTCAGGTCTGCAGTTTGGACTCCCCGATTTCCAAGGGTTCCCTGACTATAGAGATTGCGACCCTTTAATTTTCATAACCAAAGCGGTACTATCAGAGAATCCATCTAAGGTGTCAGATTTTACTTTAGTGGCTATTTGTCGTTCGGTGTTTTTAGTTTTCTGGAGGCCTGGAAATAGGAATTGGACGCTGATCAAAACCAAGAGAGACTCCGCTTTCTTGGATGTGAATTACTTCAAAGGCAAGTTCCACGCAATCAATACTTGCGGAAACATCTGGGTTTGGGATGGTAATACGCCCCTTGCCCACATTGTCCTCTCCATTAATTTTTATCTACTCCCTCGCTATAGTAAGTTGTACTTAGTGGAATCATCATCAAAGTACTCCTCCGAGACGGGGGAAGCAGAATTATTGTTGATTTTGCGATTAGAGAATATGTATGAGGACGGTGACGACTCTTCTGATGAGGAGGCTGATCAAGTATATAAGACTAAGTACTTTTACACCAGGCATTTTAAAGTTTATCAATTGGATACGGCGAGAAACGACTGGGCGGAGATTCCTCATTTGGGAGGCGATGCATTGTTTGTTGGGTATAATGCCACAATCGCGGTTCCGGGGTCCGAACCAAAAACAAGAAATGGAATAAAACCTAATTGTATATATTTTTCGGACGATAGATGGTTGACATTCCAGGAAATGGGAGGAGGTGGGAGAGATATGGGAATCTATAATATGGAAGATGGAAACGTTGAACGTTTGGATGGCCTTGACGTTGGCATTGATGTTCAAGATAAGTCCGTTCTAAGTTTCATCTCTCCACCCTTGTGGATTCCCCCTAACACTTGATTACCAGGAGCTCTGGTATCTCCTATACCTCCTCCTCCTCCTTCTTCTTCTTCTTCTTTTTTTTTTTTCATAATATCTAATGAAACTCAATTTGCTTTTTTTTTTTTTTTTTGTGTGGCTCATTCAATCTTGCGTATTGTATATATGTAATATTGTAATATTGTCTTAACCCCTGTGTGTTTCTGTCATGTTTTTTTTAAAAGAAAAAAATTATAAACATTATCAAAATATAACAATAAAAAACTAGGATTCAAGACCAAGTACTGCTTGATTATACGCACCAGGTGCGGAGGGTGTGGTGTTCCGGACTAATTCAGATATCCAATCATTTCTCAATTAATTATGAAGATGAGTTTAAAATTGTATAATTAGAAACTATGTATTACGGAAAAATATTCTATACATCCGTTGCATCCTAATTTTTAATATAACAAGTCAATCATAATAAAAGAAGATAGGTAACTATTATTTTTACCTATGAATCCTGCTAAAATTATAAACTCCCTCCAAAACTATATGTTGCATGTGCTGATGACCTAACCTTGTATAACGTGTGCACCGAATATATATTTACTCTACACAAGAAACTATGTTATATGAACTGCATAAATGAAATTTCAAACAGGATATATAAGATGTACATTTTCGTGTAGTCATCATTTCCTCGTGCCTGAGTAAAAAAGGATACTGCATGTAGTTCGAAGGGAATACATTGGAACTTAGAGATTACAGCTGAAATTTAAGAGAACTTCAAATACATTTGATTGGCTATTGTTGGTGGCATTACCACATGTAGCTCATCTTTCATACACATGATAATAGATAATTCAATTCAGAAGAACAGTATGATTAATTACCTCAATTAATTACACTAGACAAACCTTTCCAATTCATCATATCAATACTTCCAACAGATTCAAATTGTCCTTTTTTATTCCCAAAAAATGACTTGAAAAAACACCATGATTTTTGTTTAGAGATGTATATCGCGTCATGCCCAGGTTAAAACTGTGGAAAGAATGAAAACGGAACAAGATAAACAATTTAATTGGTTTGTATAAATTCAAGGCAGTCGAAACAGAAACTAAGACACTAAAATAGAAGAGCAAGCTGAAATAAAAAGAAATAAAAAAATTATTCTATTTAAGAAACAAAACAGAAATTTTCTTCCATACGAACAACTCATGTAAAAGACCAAGTTGCTGCAAATTTAATAAAGCAAATCATTTAATTCAATTAGGAACAAAATCAAATGGCCAGAAAGTTTTCGTATCCATTAACTAATCATACTTGAGTGGACGGTTTCAGACCTGAAAAACTGAAAATTTTGAAAAACAAACATACACAAGTTCTAAGAAAATTCTTTTCAATTTTTACAAGTTTTAGGCAACTCACAACCAATTAAAGAGGACAACCAAGCTCTATTTAGTTGTCATAACTCAAAGTTGAAGATACGAGACCCACAATGTCATTCAATTTAGGAAGGAAACCAAAATCCTAGTAAACACAACTATTGAAATTCATAGCAAAACGATCACCTTTCCCGACTGCGGAAGTAAGTCGTAAGCAGTATGTGTAGACAAAAAAATCTGAAATACAGTGGCGAGTCAACTCCAACTAAGCTTCTGATATTCCACAATCTCAGACTGTGACTTGCTAATCAAAAAGACCAAAAAAAAAAATTAAAAACATCAGACATAATTAATTGCAAAACACACGCCACGAAGAAGATATGAAACAAAGACAAAAGGTACAAAATAGAAATATGCAGTCAATTATAAGGAAACCTAAAATCAAATATTACTATTTGTGCTCGTTTTTAAGGCAACCTTTTAATAGAAGGTAAAAATTACTTCAACTTCATACTGCAAGAAAACTAAACCAGATACAACTACGGGGTGGAGAATTGAAAAACCGGCCAAAAATTGGTTATTCCCGCATGTCTCTTTTTTCTTTTTTTTTTTTGAAAGGGGAAAAAAATTTACAATCAAATTTCTTCCATGGCTATTCCAGTTACATTCGTGAAATACATAAACTGAAGATAGTCTTTATTTAAAAATGAAGATAACCCGTACCATTACCAAAAAGGCCAACGGACGGTTTGCTTGTTTTCCTTAACGAAGCTATTCCGATTCCAATTCACACTTTGCAAGTTTTTAATTACCTCTGTTTCCTTTCCTTAGCTAAACCCCAATCTTCAGATTCTTTTTTCCTCCCCAAATTAGTCGCACTTCCCTCTTTACTTTTTTCTTTTTTCCCTTACTTTGTAGGTCTTCCACTCGTAACATCATCCTTCTATGTTTGCAAGTTATAATATCGCCATCTAGTAAAGATTCTAGTTTACAAAGAAAATTCTTCGAGTTACATTACATAAACTACTCATAAACTCATACTCAAGTGAACACATAACTAAATTTTATTACGTACTTATTGTTGTTTGAATTCACGGTCCTTATCATTAACATTCCGAAATCGAACCCCAGAGCTCCCTTTGGTAAGTATTTAGATATATTTTCAAACTCTATTTTTTTTTTTTTGTTGATGTAGTAACTACTCATCATATATTTATAATATTCTCATCGACTCTAACGGTGGTGCGTCTTCGAAATTGAGCCAAGTAGAACCCAAAGCTATGGCCTTGGTAGTGTTGTGTTTACCATTTCATCCGAAACCAATGTACAAGTGTTCAAATAATTTAAACATTTGGAATCGCGTAAACAAAATCAACCAAATGAGGGGGAGAAACAGAGTTATATTCAATCAATACTAATTCTTCTGAACAAATCTGACTTTCAAACACCATGTTGGAATTCTAAAACACACACTCCAGCAATAACAGTAGACATCACATGAAAATTACAGTTTTATCCAATCATTTTCCTCAGGCATAGTTCAGGCGGAAAACCAAAGACTATAATTAAACATTGGAGCGATTTGCTCCATAAAGATCAATACACTAAATGAATATGGTTCACAAAAAATTTGACAAGAAAAGAGAGGAAAATACAAGCAGCACCGATGGATATCACAACCAAAATATGGTCTCAAAATTTGTACCTTTTTTTTTTTATTTCTATTCTCTCCTTCTGGCAATGTTTCTCCTCCTCACTTCTTTGTGGATGTGTTCTTCCTCCTCCCTCTTTCGTTCTCCTCTCTCTTTGTGGCTGTGTTCTTCCTCCTCCGTCACTTCCTCTTTCGTCCACTCTATACTCCGTAATTGGGCTGATTAAAAGGCAATAAATAAAAAATATAGGTAATATTGGATTCGATTGAGGCCATTGAACGGATTATTAATATATAGACAAGTTGCTCATGATTTTTGGTTGAGGATTAGGATTGCCGATTGATGATAGACTCGGAGAAGAAGAAGTTGAATGTGTTTTTGGTTAAACCTTTGAGGTTTATAAAAAAAATTTATTTTCTACCGTAGGTAATACGACATGTTTGATAGGTAACCGGTTGTAATTAAATTATCCGGTGGTGTAAGGTATATTTTAATTATAGAACACCTCATTTTAATCTAATGGTTGATATTAATTTTAATGATCTAACGGTTATTAAAGTCGACTGAACCATTCAGTCGACTGGACTGTAGTCACTCCTTATATATATATACTAGTGATGTCTGGTCGCGCAATGCGCGACCCTGGCCCAGTCTATCTGTAGATCTTAGAAATGTTTATATTTAAAAAAAAAATAAAATTTTGTATTTGGAGCGATATCTTTTAGAAATATTTGAAGGATTTAGAAATGTTTTATAAGTGTGATCATAGAGATATTTGTATTTCGCAAAAAAAAAAAAAAAATTGTATTTCGCCATGTATGTTTTAGAAATATTTTATAAGTGTTACTTATTAAATATAAATAGCCTTAATCGAATATATGTGTTGAAGTAAATGTTAGATAAAATATAAAAGCATCCTAATAAATTTAAATATTAGTAAGATGATTTATTGATGTTCTCCATTGGTCGTGTCAAATCAATACTTAGTTTTGGAGATTTTTAATAACTTTGTAATAAGGTTCATCCGAAGAGTATACACTTAAAACAAAATTGACACTTTGTAACAAAAAACCTAATTGATCAATTCAATTTAAAAAACCACTCTAGTTGAATGAAACATAAAGAAAAAATTAAAAAAAAAATGTCACGTAAAGTGCAAAGGGAGATTTAGTAATTTTGTTATGGTTAGACAAAAGGGCAATATAGTACTTTTTACATGTTACGTGGCAATCATATGAGGTGTTTGAAAGGGGGGTTTTTGTTTCTAATATAGTAGGATATATATATATTGCCTTCCTCAAAAATAAAAAATAAAAATTTATTGTATTATTTTAATTCAGCAAATTAAATAATTTTTTAAGACGAAATGAATATAGATACGTGTTCACTCTCTTGAGAATATCTTTAATATAAATTCTCTAAATATATAATTGAACAATTCTGGTTAACTCCATCATTCTTTATTTTTGATGGACGCATGAGTCCAAAAAACAAAAACGAAAAACAATTGAAAGAATCTTGATTAGCACTAAACAAACAATTGTGTGTTATCACCAACTGAAAAATGGAAGGGAAGAGGAAAACGATTGAACATGTATTCCTTATACTTCCAAATTGTCCCAGAATTTCCCATATACTTGATGAATTATGGTGGTACTCTTACATGAGAGACTTTGAGTACCATCAAATAAAACATTTTTCCGCAATAATTTTCTTTTTGTAACACTCCTTAATTTAATATCTATCTATCATTTATTTACATGCGCGACAATTTTCATTTTTTGAAAAAGTGTTATACAAAACATCAGTGAAAAGGCCAAATAGAATCACATATCTAATTTTATAGTAGATGATGATTTGGTGATTTCGGCAATGACAAACTTATTGACTTTTAAGTTTTTAACACTCCCTGATGGTATAAAATCATGATTGTGGAATACAGCGCAGCATTATCATCATATAACTAAAAACTGTTTATCCATTTTCATTTCTAAAT